GGGGTAATGACCCTGATCTGGATGTTGCCTTATTCCAAAAGCTATTCCAAAAGCAGAATGTTCGTTTCACTATAGCTGTTCCAGTTGTCCCTTGAAAATTAAGCCAGCCAGGCCATCTGGGCTCAGGGTCTGGCTTGAAGAAACAATGAGTCTTACAGAAAATCTGCTTAAGCTCCCAGAAGAGTGAGAGTGTTGGGGCAGTCAGGTGGGGTCATAATTGAATGGTTTTGGTTTTTCATGCTGAAAGAAAACTAAAAAGCTAGTTATTAATTTTTGATGGATGGAAGGTGTTTGCACAAGTTTGTAGTGCTGTTGGGACAAATCTTTTTCAGCTGATAGAAATTTATTGTTTGTTAAGAATTAAAAATGTAAAAAAAATGTATTGTCTTTTTTTTATATAAAGTTTACATTTTTCTTTTTGCCACAAGCATAATTTCTGCTTCTTAAAATTGCATATGCAGCTATATTAAAATTTAAAATGGGGAAAAAAATAAATGTAATTCAATGGCTTAAGAATGTAATAATACTTGTACATTTTTATTTACATATTAAAATGCTGACATTTCAAGCCCATGAAGTGACCCACAAGTCACTTCAGATCATGAAATAGTTATTATCTGAGTGCCAAAAGTGTTTGCTGGACAGTACGGGTGTTTGCCAGCTTGCTGTGGCAAATCAGGCCTTGTCACCTTCCACTGGCAAATAATGAAGGTAAAAGTTGGAGTTGCCATGGAGTGTCGTCCCAAGACACTGCACAAATAACAGCAAGACCACCTAATGTTAGATCCTGTGCCTTTGGTTTAATGATCACAGCAGCTATAGACAAGACATCAGGGATGTGGTGTTTGACCACATTGCATCTGCCATATGTGTTCGTCACACTCACCTGGGTAGCCCCCAAATATTACTGGGAGTCTGATTTACATTTAAATAGGTTCGCTAAAGAGTTTGTCACAATTGTTACTGGCGTTTGTTTCCCGGGAGGTAATATTGCCTCTGTCTTGGGTTGCCTGCATTTTGCAAACATTTAATCAGAAAGCTGGAATCACATCCATATTAATTCTGGTAGATTACCAGAAGATAAAGAGATAACCACAGCAATCAAAAAGACTTTGGGAAACGGCTTGAAAAAGATAAAGGAATGAAAAGTAAGTCTTTTTTTCAAGCATATCCAATAGGCTAGTGGAGGGTTTATAGATGCAGTGTGGTGGTGTGTGACTGCGATACAACAATGCAGTAGGTCCTACTGAAAAGAATACAGAAGGAGCTCTCAAAGCAGATATATTACTTTGGCAGAAAAACAGACAAAATTTTTAGCATCAGTGTGCAGAGTTCTACAAGTTTGTGATCCACAAATTACTGTCAGCTTGGAGATTCTTTTGGTCACACATGACCACTTACCATCTTCTTTTCAGACTTTTCCATTATTCCTGCAGTTCATAATGGTCGGAGCTAGGATACAAGTCTGAACAAGATGTTTGATACTGCCATTCTTTGCTTTTCTGTGATGCCTTTTTTTTAATTATAAGAATTGGCTATGCCAGTATTGACAGTTCCATTCAAATCAAGGCCAGACTTGCTGGCAACTTGTTCAAACATTTCTTCTCTTTCAATCTTATCAGCAGACCAGCTAAAACCTGAAACAGGACCTTCAGTATCTGAGCCAAAAGAGCTGTTCTATACCTGGGCTTCTGCCACAAGTATCCCTTATGCAGCTGGCAGGCTCCAGCTCAGGAGAGCACACAGGATAACCACTTCTCCTGAGGACAGTCCTCAAGGTCGTTTTTCACTCAAAGTATTAACAGAAATCCTGAAAGGAAGAAAGTTTCCATGTGTTGGGGCCAAATAAAACAGCCAGGTTTTGAAGCAAAACAGCCAGGTGTAAGTAGATGAGGGATGGATGGGTGTTAAAATAGCTTCAGGACATTTGCTGTCTCGGGACATTCATCCAAAATCTTTGATTGCCAAGTAATTAAAGCAATATGCTGATAAACAAATTTGTGAAAAGCAGTATTACAAATGCTAATGAAATTTCCCAAATTAGCAAACTAGTAGAGGAGTTTCTTTCGAAGATTAGAATATGAAATCCTAATCAAGCTCATATATGGAAAAGACTTGGGTTATTGTTTAATATAGCTACTTTAATTAATGAGGGAAACAAGTGGCACTCCTAGTACTGGCTCAAGGTTTGTTGTCTGCACATAAATGTTCTTTTGTTGGGAATAATAAAGGACTTTCTGTGAAAGTAGGTGGCTGGGTCCCTAATTCCACAGTTATACAATCACTTTAAGGTAATGTAAATACAGGCTGCTGCTCCAGTGGATAATCTACAGTTTTAAGCACTCTAGATATGTATTCCCAGCCAGCATGGTAACCAGACCAGAGAACTATTCTATTTATAAATTAATGGGATCATGGAAAAAGTGGAGATAGACTTGTCCTTTGTGGTGGCAGCCCACACCTTGGGTTAAAATTAGAAAGGAATTACACATTTTAAAAAGAGACTAATGTGAAATAAAATCCAGCTTAGAACAGTCAGTTTTTCTATATAAAAATATTTGATCGAAAACAAGTGGAATCTCACCAGAACATGCTAGCAACTGTCTATAGTCTAGGCTTAATACTGCTGAAATGGCTCCCAAATAAAATATCCTCTGAACACGAGCAGAGGGTAGACTGATGCACAAGCAAATAAGTGCACAGATTATAAACCATGAAACTTGGGGAAGAGTGACACAGGTAATGAATAGGTATTATTTTCTCATTAAATATTACTGGAACTATTTGTAGAAGCCCACCAAAAGTACTGATACCACTGCAGTGATGAAAGCATGCTCCAAAGCACTACTTCATTTCCTAACGATGATCAAACAATTACTTCTTTACAGAATTAGTCTCAACCACAAGCTATTTCAGTCAAGAAAGGAAACTGCTTACCATCCAAATCCAGCTGCTAACAGGAACTGTATTCCTCCTTCAGTGAGACTACTTGTGTCTGAGATAACCTATACAGACACCATGAACAACCTGAATAAAAGAACATGATTTCCAAGAATTCAGAATCTGAACAACAGGATGTTCTGATGAAAATACAAGCCTCTAGGAGTGGCTCTGACCCAAGCCTTTTGTGGTCCGTGGATAAAGAAAACAGTGATGAAAATAGTGTACAAAGAAGGGAGGTATGAAGGTAGCATAGAGCTGACAGCAGATTACTACCTGTATCAACACCTTTTAAAATTTAGTGTCTGCAAATTATTACTATGAAATCAAAATTATCTTGGCAGGAAGTTTTTCAGAGAACTGTTGTATTCATGTAAAGTCACAGAAGACATCTGTATTACAGTCATTTAAGCAACTTAAAACCTTACCAACTTTTGTGAATTGTTATTTATTCCACAAACTTCATTCACCTGTTCATCAAAATAATGCTGTACCTCCAGCTACTGAACCTTGATTTGGCCCCTAATGATTGACAAATTCATTACCCTTGACTCACCATTTGTACTTTTTTTTTATAGTAAAACTAGTTTGCTGCCAGAATTACATGAAGTGAAAATGTTGCTGTGTTGATTCCCGGTGTGAAAAGGGATCCCGCAGAAAGATACAAATGCCACCTACTAAAAACAGAGACTTAGAGGAAAAGAAAATCTCTCTGTAAAACCCACAGCCCCTGAACATGATCACAGAACATTTTAAAGGACCTTGAGGATTACCGTCTTTAGGGTAAAATAACACAGTTTACTTATGTTGATCCTGGGAGAAAACATTTTATGATATATCTTCATTTTACACAAAAGACAGGTTAAAATCATAATTATCATAACATTTTTAGGCACGTGTGCAGTTCTCAGCTACTGGTTCTGTTCATTCTGCTTTAGAAATTAGAAACCTGATATAAGATTGGAAAAATTACTTTGCAAAACTTTTTTCTCTTGCAGCTGATAACATTATCTCTCACATGCTTTGATCAACAGAACATAGCTAAAGGAGGAGCTTAGAAGTCCTTTCCCTACTATCAAAAACAGGAACAATATCACAATATAAAATTAGTGGATAGAGAACATTAACAACACCTGACCGAGGTGTCAGACATAAACTTTGTGCCAAATTTTTTGCATAATCCTGCCTGTAGCACTGACGTTTTGCTTTCATGCCACATTCAGAAGCGCAATGTTTTTTTCTTCCAGTTGCACTAAATTGTGACAGTGAGAGATACACAGATTTATTTTTTAATAGGATTCAGCTTGACCAGCAGTCATTTAGCTGGAAATGGTTTTGCTTTAAGGCAGAGCTTCCTGATTTAGCTGGTACAGGCACTGTGACCACAGAAGGAAATGCCACTGCACCATGTCATTATCAGCAGTGGCAGTAGCAGCTTCTGGCTGTGTGTAAGTCACCACATGCATTATAGGAGATGAGATCCTAGCCCTAGCAAGTCCTCTGCTGGCCTTTGTACACAAGGGAGAAGGAAGAGGTATTTGGCCATTTTCTGTCTCCTCTGGGATTGTTTTAAAATTCTCCCACTCCACCCACCTTCAACCTGCAGGGTGCCTACTTTAGGATTGAAATCACACACAGATTTTTAATGGTTTCCATCCATAAATTTCCAAACAATGGTCAGCAAAAGCAGCATTTCATACTTAGCCTCTGCTTTTTTGCGCATGAGGAAAAAGTGACGTACAGAAAGGTTAAGGCAAATGTCCTCAAAAGCAGGAGTGTCTAAGTCCCACTGAAATCAATCTGAGCTTGGAGTCTGACAAGCTGTGGACATCTGTGCTCAGGTGACCTAAATGGAAACTCTCCAACTCATTCTGAGCTCCATCTCTCCATGAGACCCTACCTGTCCTTCCAGCACACAGAGACTGTTGCTCATGCAGACACAATGTATTGAAATGTGTGACAGACTTTGAACTTCTAGCATCTGAAAACTCCTTTGATGTTCAGAAATGCTTCCAGTTCTTAGAGGGAAGCTACTAGATTAATTGTCAACGACAGTCTCATAAGGTTTTGAAAAGCAGACTTTATTTATTAGGCACATCATTGCTTTAATAGCACTGGGCTGCACAGCTCGCTTCACCATTTGTAAATGGCTTTGTTTGATTACATTGCATATCCTCAGTGTCAGTAGGATTCAAGTAAAAAAGTTACTGCTTTTATTCTCTGTCATTTCTCAAGATGGAAAAAAACAGTAAACATCTAGCGCACAGGAGCAGGGTACAGACAGAACTGCCTGCAACACAGAAGTCAAGACAAACTGAATTTTGAGCACTGAACAGTTAAAGCTGCAAGACAACCATCCTACATTTGCTCAGATAGGAGTTTGCTTTATGCAGGAGGGAGATGAATGTTGCCCACTAAGACATACAATAATGCATTCTTATACTGAGAAACAAAGACTGTCCAACATAGACGAGAATGAGGGTTTCATAACAAAACAGTTCACATGAAATTAGCTTCCTTATTATTTTTGATTATAAAAGTTGTATTCCCTCAGCTGTAAAAGTTAAAGGCCTAAAAGAAAAGAGCTGCTTACAGAACTCTAAAACTGCACTTTAATCAGCTTTTCCCCCTTATATTACAACTCTTTGAGACAAAAGCATAGCATTCTGGGTTATTTTTGTAATTAAGTAGTTTATCTGGTTGTTATATTTCTTCCCTGAAAATCTGCATTTTAGTATTTTATTAAATTCCACTAATAGAAGCATACAAAATCAGAAATCATGAGAGGAAAGTAATATTGCTCTATGAAAGAAAAAAAGCAACACTTCTAACATAGTTTTATGAACATTGTAAAAGAAGCGCATATGGCATTGAAACATTTTGAAAATGGAGAAATATTTTGCAAATTTCAATGTTTTTAGGTTTTACATTCTGGTTTCTGAATGTATATTTCCAAAGTTAATATCTTGCAATTTTTAATAGATTTTCTAGCATTGCATAGGACAGACAACCTAAAACCAACAAGGCAGGTATCTAGCGTGCTGCACACTTTAATATACACCGGTTACTTCACTTACTAGCGCTTTACACTGACAGTACAACTACTGTATTTGTAAAATTTGTTTTTAAATCAGCTTGTCAAAGCTTTTGAGAAGCAATCTGGGCAATAAGGTGGGTATTTTTAGTGTCTACCATGAATACAGCCAATTACAGTATTCATCAGAGGTCACTCTCTCCATACAGTGCTGATGAAAAGGAGGTGTAATCCAGAGCCCCAGGAACCGAGCCTGGGCCGGTGTATGGAGGCATTCTCTTGATGCAGTACTGAGCCTGCTCAGGAGGCAGCTCTCGACGCAGCTCATCTGCCAGGATATAAGGCTGGGAGGGGAAAAAGGATTGACAAATTCAGTATGGGTTCTTCAAAAACAAAATATATTTTTTCTCTGTATCTGTGACTAATAAATTTGGGCATCTTGCCTATTTTTCTGAGATGAAATATTTTCCTCTGCAAATTCCATCACAGATTATGAGTTGAAGGGGGCAATTCCACCAACAAACTGATCGGGTCAAAATGCAGTATCAGGATACGTGACTGCGTATGTTAGCTACCAAGCACTGTGCAGCTATGGCCGGACTGCTAGAGATACAGCTTATTCCTGGATAGTCAATATCTCTGCAGTGCACTACTGCCACTTCTGCAGTGACAGGACAGATGCAGGTAGTTCCTGTTAGTTTCAAGGTTTTAATATATGTGTAAAGAAAGATGCATTATTGTTCTTAATGGTATGCATTTATGACATGAGGAATACCCTCTGTTAACAGACTTGACATTGCTTAAAATAACAATCTAATTAAAACCACTTTTTTCTGAGACCATCTTCCACATGAATTGCTATTGAGAACACGTCTGGAATTTAAAATGTGGTCCACATTAACTGAAATCACAAAATCAATACAAGAAGCTAGAATGAGAAAATCAATAGAGTGAGCTTGGGCAAATAGACCTGTACTGCTGTGATCTCTCCTTTCTCCACAGCACAGGATTGGTTTGGTGGCAGCACTATTTATGGCCCTGACTCCTCCAGAAGCTCTTGTGTTGCCATTATACTCCCTTGCATCTTCAAACACCACTCAGTCACAAGTGCATCTGGCAGTGGGGATGAAAGTATGCCAAATTCAGGAGCTTTCTCTACAAACCCAGTAATTACAGGAGGCCTCCTCCTGCTGCTCCTTCTAGGATAGGGATACACCACATTGCATCATTGCACGTTGAGTGTGCTGTCAAGTCACAACATGGCTCACAACCAGGTGCAGTCTTGTGCACTTTATTTAGGCTATGTTCCAGAGGGCCACACTCTGCATCGAAACATCCAGAAAGCAGCATGAAAAGCAGAACGAGTTCTGCACTAGTCAAGGCTGTGGTGTGGAAATAACCTGATGTACAATATATCCGTTATACAGACCAACCAACCAAGTCTTGTCTAAGATGCCTAATTTTATGTTGGTTCTCTGTGCTATGAGGACACACAGACCAAGCCTTCTGCACCCATTTCAGGTAAGAGTCTTGGTTCCAAACAAGAAGAAAATACATGCTTTCTCTGAAGTCTGGCAAACTGTAAACAAAGCTTCATTATTACTAAAAGGCTTGTAACAAGAAGGGCTAAACAGGAGAGCAATTGAATCCTTGCAGCAGCAGCAAGGTGACTGACCTTATCTGAAGCCAGGATTCTGAAGGAAGCTATCACTTGCTCAGCCGTGTCTGTGTCTGCCGTTTCTCTGGTCATGAAGTCAATGAAAGATTGGAAAGTGACTGTTCCTTGCCCATTAGGGTCAACCAGAGACATGATTCGGGCAAACTCAGCTTCACCCTTTCACAAAATCCAAAACAAAGAAAATGGTCACCATAGTACTGATCTCCAGCAGCTCAAGGCTCTCGTGAACCAGTCGGAACCACTGGTTATAGAGCTTATAAAGCATCTTCCAACTCAGGAACACAACAATCAGAGCCAAAGAAATCTGCATCCTAAATGCCCAACCCATTTTTGTAAAAAGGACTGTACTTTTGGAAAGTGTATCCTTTGTCGTAAATACATAATATGTACCTTTCAATTAACTGTCACCATCTTCTCTCCCTCCCACAATACCTGTTGAGCTTGTTCTAACTTAACACTTAATTTTCCGTCTCATCCTAAACCCATAGTAATTTAGGTACCATGCAGGGAAGTGAAACAATAGCCCAAACAAGCAGGGTAGTCACAGGCCCACAGAACTAAGAAGGGAAACAATTTGGAAAATTTCCTGCTGAATACAGGACAGCTTAACAAAGGATAATATCTTTCTTTTCCATGAAAAAAGTGCATTTCAGAGGAAATTTTTAGAATAAATAATTGAAGCAAGGAAAATGTAACCCCCAAGGCAACTTTATGAAAATTAAACAGTATCAAACGCATTCTTCATCATGCAGGTAGAAAAGGAGAAATTTACAAAAACATCAGTTTAATAACTGCTAATTTCAACTTTTAAAGTTGCATTAATTCAAAGAGAAATGCAGTGCACTATAGAATATGGTTTTCAAGTGTCTTGTTTTACTTTTAATTTCCCTTTGAAAATAAAGAAAAAGCAAAGAAAGTACTATCTCTAGTGTAAATGACATTAGTATCCTCTCTATTTAGATAAGCTTTAGTATTGCTGTGGTTAACGTTTTAGCTGCGAGCAAAATGAGTCAACATTTTTTTCTTAAAGCTCGTACCAAATCATAACCCATTGAAATTAAGCAAGCTCTGAAATCATCATGGTCCATCAATCCATTCTTCCTCTATTGAGCAAAACAACGTAAGGAATATAGAAGGGAGGGTTTGAAGAATCCAAGGTAATTTCCAGAGAGGTGATGAGTTTGGACCATTGGCATATTGGATCCAGTGCATGAACAGTATTCATTGATGTTGCCCAATCAGGTCACCAGAATCATCATCAGTTTTAAAAAAGGAAGAAGTAACTAACATATTACACACAGGAAAGAGACATTTTCACCACAAAAAAAGCAACATCAGGAAAGGTCAGGGGAGAGATAAGGGAGAAGAGGAGATGAATGGGACAAGAATACAGAGAACACAACCAGAGAGGACAAAAAGAAGAGCAAGGAAAAAAGTTTGTTACTAAATTAGTCAAACTCAGTAGATGTTTAAGCTGCCTCCCTGATATGACATGTCTTGGAAATGTTCTGCGTGGAATCCCTAGCAGCCAAAAGTACAGTGAAAAACAGTGACATACTTCATTCCAAGGCCAAAGTAAATACATTGTGAGTGCAGTCTGCTGATATATGGGAAATAAGTACAGGGATTTTCCTTCTGACTGCAGGCTGTCAAGACCCTGACTACAGCAGAGATGTGCATACTGGCTTAAAGGATGAGACCTGCAAGACTTAGAAGGAGATCAGGCGAAGACCTTGTATGAAATGAGGTTTATCATTTTCCAGGCAATAACATATCTGCAGCATTCTAGACTCAAAGCTGAGTTAACACGAAATGGTATGAAAGTAAGAAGGTAAATAAATCTTTCCTCTGTGCTGTGATAGATTGCAGTGTCATCCTGTATTAGGAGAGAGCGTAAGAGAACTTGTATTGAGTCTGAGGAAAGGAAAATGGACAAAAGTCTGAGTGCAAGAGCTCTCCTAGGTATCTAGTAGTGTCCAAAAAAAAAATTACCTCAAACCAAGTAAAACAAATTAACTGAAAAATCTTTGAAAAATGCAAAAATACACCTCAAAATTATGCTGACAGTCCATATAAACCAGTTGTCTTCCCAGAGGCAGGATCTTTTCAAAGCATTATGACCAACAGGCTGGAGTTTAAACATGCAGTATTTTTGGCTATTGTTACGTCTGAAAACAGAATTATTTCAGTTTCCTCTACCTGCAAGTCATTTCCAACCTGTCCTAGACTGATGAGGCAGGCTTTAAATTCATCAGACTGTAGATGGTCAGATTCATCCTAGTATCCCATCACAGGTCATGCATTTGGGAAGGGGAAAGGAAAGAAAAGTCACAGATCAGGTTAGTTGGTTAGTAAAGAACATTCTCTTTGCAAATTAATAATCCCATTCTTCCAGATTTTCATGGAAACGTAATGTCAATATATGCAATGAATTACCTAAAAAGTGTGAAGTTTTGCAGTTTCATGCTTTAGAATTTTTCTTAGTAGAAGAGGGTCCTCACTTCAACAACAGAGTTAGAACTCTGCTTCCTTCCATCTTTTTTTTGAAACACCTTTACTGACAAGCCAGATTTCATTTTATGAAGCCATTTGCTTCCTTCCTTTTCTGTTGTCATGCAGTGTATGTGAGATGCAATACAAATATCATTGAACCCAGGCAAAACATGTTTTCCCCACTCAATTACTGTTACTTCATTCTTGATCTGGTAATACTACTTAATATAATATGCATATCTCAAAGGAGATAAGTACAAAATAAATTTATAATTGACAACGTATTTTCAGTTATCTAGCTTCTTTAACAATATATACAGTCAGGTTTTGCTTTGAAAACTGACTTTAAAAAGCACCTGGAACATTGTTTTGAACCAGTATCTTTCTATTTTACAGGTGAAGAAATTCACCTGCAAAATAGAAAACTTTAATAAAAATATTATTTAAAAATCATTTAACAAAAATAGAAAACTTATTAAAAATAGATTGGCTTAACTTTTTCTTCCTGTTCATACAAAATGCTTCCTATCAGAGGGGTACTTTAGAGTGAGTTAACAGAAATACAATTAAGGAGATATTCCAAGATGAAAAATTACTACCCTTACTGATTTTACAGACAGTTTGGAGAAGATCCAAGGTTTTCTGTCTGCTACATATTTGCCTGCTACATTAATAGTTTACTTTTGAAAATTTCTGTATAGTTATGCAAAGGTAAAATTATATGAGGTTAAGAAATGCACTGGGCTTATTTAATATACTAATAGGATGAAGTGGTGCTTTAGTAAGTTAATAACACCATGCATTTTTAAAATATCATGCTGTTATTGATTCTCTCTGCATCAACATCCACCAGCCCTATAAAAGAAAGATGAAAAATAACAGTGCGAAGTCCATGAAGAGATCAAAAGCAATGTTACAAATCTGGAGCAGCATTTAGTTAAAAGCCATAATCACAGTAAAGTTTTTATCCTTTAATATTTCCATTTTATATGATGATTCCTGCTATAAAGCATTCAAAATGGCTTAATTTATCATTCTCAAAATGTTAATCTAGGCTGGTTTGAAACTTTCAAAAGCTGTCCTGGGGACAGGCTATGGCAGGTCCCACCAGGGGTAAAGTTATTCATTTTGCCTGATTTCTAAAGCTGAAGATACTTCTGTATGACTGCAAACAAAATGATACAGAAATGGGAGCTAAGAGCCAAATCCTGCCCCTCCATCTCCTCTAGCAGGTGCTGCTGGAGGATCATGAGCTACTACCCCACTCCCTGGGGGTGGGTGGGCAGTGTGTGCAGGAGCTCCCCAGCCAAGCACACACAGCAGCAGGAGCTGAGGCAGAGAAGGGCAGATGGGAGTGAGGCACTGGCACATGCTCCAAGACACCATTTTCTTTAGGAGAGAAGTGCAGTGGTTGTGCTGCAGCTCAGAACAGTCATATGGTTAAGTGGGACTCCCTAGTGAGGGTCCAAGTAGTAGTGCCAAGTGCTATAGCAGGTTTTCACATTCTTGTAGAGAAATTCTCAAATCTTCATCATATGTTGCCTAAAAAAGCATCTTTGAAGTATATCAGAGTTTCATGGAATTCAATGGCATTTTGCAAATAAGGCATAGATCAAGCCCATGTGAAGGCTTTCTCAATTGGAAATGTTTCTTGATATTTATTTTTATTGTTTGCAGACCAACATTAGGAACTGAAATGAATCTTTTAACACATATAAATAACTTTGCCTTGCTCATCTTTTCCTGCCAATACAAAGAAAAACATTAAAATCTCCTTCATGTTTCATTATTAGTCCCCAGAAATCTTTTCCCTTCTCCTTGTGATTTATGTGACCTTATAAAACAAGTGAACTTCTGAGTCAAACTAATCCATTCTTAAATATGTCCTTAATTTTCCTGAATGCTAATCGACCTGCATAAGCCTGAACATATGATTCCTTTAATAGAGAGCTGTTGTTTTTCTGTTAGCAAAATATAGGGTGGCATGATGCTATTTTTCTGCCTGTAGAGCTCCTACTTGAAATCTGTAGTTTGCAGAAAAATCAATAGTAGGATGTATTAGCAGCCATTAAGATAGTACAGGCAGAGCAGCTGCAGATATTTCATCACATACTTTGCAATCTTATTTAGAATTTACTAAATATACTGAATCTGAAAAAGGAATCCCTGCATAAAGAGATGTCAAAACCAGTGACTGACAACCTGTCTGTGTGGTATCCTGATTTGGCTGCATACCATTATTCAGCTATGCACCATTTTGAACACTTCCAAACCACTTCTGTGATTTCAGACATTGTGTCCCACTTTCTCTTTTTTTCTCCATGCAGTCACATTAAGGAAGGAAATATAGCAGCATTGCTAAAGATTTATATTTTTAACTACAACTAGACTGTGCCTTCAGGCACAATCTCTAGCAAGGAGTAGGACAGCAGTGGTAAGCAAAGGTAAGCATCAGCACCCTCAGGAATAACCCCCGGGGCACCAGCGTGTGTACACCGGCTGGGAACACGAGAGCCAAGAGGGCTCTTACCCCCATGAGCCACGGGAGACAGCACGTTTGCCACTTGCCTTTTCAAGGGTGACTTGTAAGGCTCTCTGTGCCAGCACATCTCTGCTGGGGATGCACTGAAACAAACATGACTCTTCCTGCCCTTCTAATTCTCACATGCACTGTGAGATTTTTTTAAAATATATTCTTCCCAGGGAGGAAGATAGGGGTTCCTTTCTCAGATTCACAAGCAAAGGAAGTTGTTTCTAGAAGCACCCTAAAAAGAGTTGGTAGATTTATGTATACCAAAATACATACTTTAAAACGGGCAAGGGAGCTACTCTGCATATTAGTACTTTACTGACATCCTCAAGACACACTGTCAGACATTAAGAAATGTCTTAAATGTGAGAAATGCCGCACAAGTCACAGCTATACCATGCATAAATTATTCTGTTGTACTTAGATATTTAAAGCCTCCTCGTCAGTGACGGTATTAATTTTTGGGATCCTTTCTGACTATTCATCATGGTGAATAGCAATCCAACCCTTCAAGTGTATTTTTAAACTATATCAGGCATTCAGAAAGGCTGCTAAGTGCCATGAAATTTTTACATATATTGTTAATTCCATCTGACATGAAGAAGACAGTATTTTTCATGCTAGTGCTTATGTTCACATAATCCAGTTTTATCTTCATTTCTATTTAAGGAAATCAAAACCATAAAATAATCCATTACTGCCTTCTCTATCTAAAGATGAACAAATATAAAGTTTTCATTATTTTATGTACACTGAAGTAACTCTGGAGCACCCTAAGTAGCCTTCATTCACCAACACTAAATATTCAAATGTGCAAGGACACAGGAAAGACAAAAATTAAGAACAAGCCTGTTTTTCTCCAGCATGCTTGTTCAAAGTCTCCTTCCAGCCTGTGTAGATTGAGTTGCATCTGACTATTAAGTAACAGTGTAATTTAATCCCTATAAACTTATCTTTTATCAGTGTTTCTGCATTTCTCAGTGTTTTATCTGTTCCCTGCATAAAGCCTGACTTGATGGTTGAGTAATTTTAAATCTTAACTTGTTCCTTTCTTTAACTTGCATTATGCTACAGAGAAAATAACTCTGTCAGTGCAGGAGTCCACCTAGACCAGTTTCCCATGTTTGATTCTGAGGGATGGGGTGTACTAAAGAGGGCCATTTATAAAATGGTCCGCTCCTTATGTGACCCTTCAAACCTCTCTTTTTAAGCTATTGGATTGTATCTGTCATGGGGAAAGGCAGGGTCTACAGATAAACTTGCAGACCAGGCCCGGGCTGTTGAGGCCACAGATGAGAAACAGATTAGGAGGTATAATAGATGAAACATCTGTCTCCTGCTTCTGACCTGGCCATTCAGGCTTCCTGCAACAGGAGCCAGGATAGAAGGGACACGGCCTAAAGCCATGACCCATTATAGCCTGAGGAAAGAGATAGTCAGGGGCAGGTAAGAATCTAAGAGCTGGGAAGCAATTTTGTGTTACACATTATTGTTGTAGCCCATCTCCAGAGTGCTAGCAGCTTTGTGACACAACCACCTTCTTCCAGGTCATACAAACTTTTCCTAAGGCTTTACTCTGTGTTATCCTTTGGTATTTCAATGTCTTACTGCATCTGCAAAGCCTGAAAATCCCTAACAGTAGGGCTGGTTGGTGTAGGCTTTAGCTTCTCCCTTCAGGCAGCCTTAGGCACCAAGAGCTGACTGTGATATCTCCTCAGCCATTGAGCCAGCCTTGCTGCGAGCGGGACTGAGAACTTGCCTATGAACTACAAAGGAACAGGGATGCTAGAAATGGCCATCCAGTGTAAAATAGACTTGGATTCAGTCACTTTGCTTCCTTATCTTTAGGGTACTGTCAAATCTTTGTGCAAAGACCTTGGTTTCCCTTAGAGAAGTCTCTCAAATACAGGCATGTAATTTATCCAGGCCTGGGACTTTGCTTTTAATAGCTCTAATTGCTCAATCATCTGCTCCAGTGCATTGGGAAAGCCATTTGGTAAGCTACTTCCTTCCACCCCAGGAAATCTATCTCTGCTTTTGAGATGTTATCTTCTGCTTCCTTAGAAAATACAAAAAAGAATCATGCTGTACTAGAATTACATTGAGATTTTTCCATAAAATCTGTTCCTAGTTCTGTGTAGCTAAATCTCCCTATGCTTGTATGTTTCTTCAGCAAGCAGAGGTTTGATAATTCTGGTCTTTTTCCTAAACAGTTAGAGGTATTCTAAAGATTTAGTAAACTGTGACTATCAGCATCAATTACATATCAAGTGCAAGTGCATGTATGGGCAACAATAGGATGTAAGTGAAAAGAAAGTGGCATTTTGCTGTACCCTGAAATGATTTGAAGGACTGACTTGACAGACTGGTGATGCATTATAAGATTTTTTTTCGGTATTTGAACTGTGAACTTGGTTTTAAAGGCGGGGTTATGTGAGTACAGAGCCATCAAAGTTAACTCATGTTCAGACTGTTCTCCAATTGTAAATGTCAGATCCCCATCTGCATATATTTTGCTATTGTGTATAGTTATGAATAGTTATCTTTATAACACTCTGTCCATGAATACAGCATAACTCAAAGAAGTGAGTTAAGTTTCTTCACAGTACCATTTTCCTTCCTACTTTTTTATTCATCCATATTTAGATAACTAAAAAAAGTAACAGCCTCTTATTTCCCACATACAGCCAGAAAAATAAAGGATATTTCTGGACAGCTGTAAGTGTCCCAACTATATTCCCTACAAATACATTTCTAGGGAGACAAGTTGTGATTCAAAGGGGGGAAAAAAGCCTCTGTGATATAGATTACAGCTAAATTTAATGAGATGGAAACAACAGCAAGTACTGAGAACATGATGTACAGTCTTAAAATAAAAGGGTCGTGTTATTTTCCAAAACACACAGATTTATGCAGTTCTGCTTATTATTTTAACAAATTCTAAATCATATTAGCAGAGCTATAATTCTGCATTCTATTTAAAAAGCAGAAATTAATCTTTAATTTATGTGCACAGTGCTACTAGGCTGTGGGGAGCCCTAGGCAACATGATCTAATGGATGCATCCCTGCCCAAAGTGGGGAGAGTGGAACTAGATGATCTTTGAAGTCCCTTCCAACCCAAGCCATCCCTTGAGTTTAAAAGGCTATAAATTCTTTCTTAACTGATCTTTTTTTTCTCTTTTAAAAAGAGCCCATTGCTAGCCCATTTTCAGGTTTTTTAAAAAGCTTATATTTGGAATGCCAAGAAACTCACTTTTGGGAAGACTATATACTGCTAGTTGAGAAAAAGCAGGAGTACTGTACCCTGTCAAAGTGATTGAACGATGCTCTGAAGTCATTCATTTGTTCCTGGGTGATACCCTTGGCATCTCTTGTGAGGATCTGAGTCTCAACCTCATTGATAGTTCGAGCAATGGTGGTTAGCAGGAGCTCCCATCCAACACGGATGTGCTATGAGAGAGAAAATACTGAGTTATTACAGAAGCAAATATATTCTTTTAGGAGTACAAAAAGTACAATACAAAATAAATCAGCTTTAAATATTTATGTGATAATTTTTCCATACTACTAACTCTGTATTACGACCAAGGATCACTAAAAATAAAAATGGCCTTCAGAAAAATATGAAACTGGTTTCTAAATGGTACTTCCTCACTAAAATGTGAAAATAAAACAAGTCTTATGAGATTGTCAGAAAGTCTGCCAAATTATATCTTCTGTGGGAGTCCCTTTAAATCAAGGAAGGTAGTAAAATGGCACAAGAGGACAGAATAAACTAATAAATACAAAAGAGAGTAAATGGCTACCTCCATGGTATAGTTGGTGTGCTTGTTGTCAAATACCAGGGCTTCTTGTATAAGCTGATGATCTCCTTCCAGTTTGTCAATATTGTGTTTATAATTAATGATATTGTGCTCATATTGCTTCAGCTGATTCATCTGGTCCTCCAAAGGCCCTGTCATTTCAATAGAACTGCGGGCAATTTCCTGTCAAAAGAAAAAAAGACACCCCCCAATCCCACAAAATTTAAGCTTCAGATGTGCTAATTTGACCAATGTTCACATAAATACGTTGTATTTTTATACTAAGAAGCAACAGTAATAATAACACCTTCATACAGTGGAGATGAGAAATTTTACTGTAGAAAACACATTTCAAAAGAAATGTGTCACATTTAAATATGGAATTCGTATTGAAACCCCAGTGAACCTGGTATCTTTTCTACAAAAAGCAGAAACTAAACAGAAATTGTTCAGTGATTGAATTTTCAAAGCTGAATTGCCTCATTGCCATCAAGGTACCACTTGTTCAAAGTTCCACAGTTTTAAGAATAATCTTAACAGATGCTAAATAGTTTAGGATCAAACAGCTGGTGAACTATCATTGATTTTGCTGTTGCCCTGTATATAAAGTAGAGATAAAAAAAAAAAAATCACTTTGCCCATCAGCTTCTGCCTGAGGGTCTGGCACTCACCTCCATCTTGGTCTGGATCCATGGCCCGATGACATTGGCCTGAGCAGCAAACTGGCGGCGCAGGCGCTCGTTGGCGTGCTGGCGGGCTAATTCCTCCTGCAAGGACTGATCCCTCTGAGGCACCAGCTGCTTCACCTGTTACAGTGGGAAGGCAATAAAGATGAGTAGGCACAATTAAATAGTTTAAAAACAAATTGAACAAATATGTCTACAGCTACTAACTTTCATTATTGGTCTGAAGGCTGATATCAGAAGAACAAGCCAGAATGATCACTATTTTATTTACAAACTCTGTGCTAACATAAGAAATTTGTAACATGGTCTTAGGTAACCTGACCAGAGAGACTGACATGTAGATAGAAAAAATTCTCACCTCTGACTGGATTCAAGTTCAAGACAATTATTTCACTTTAACTGCTCTTAAAGCAGTTACTTTGTTTTTCTTTTGAAAAATGAACGTGATTTTTCAATCTCTAAGTAATCTAAGAAGAGTTAGTGCAAACTATTTTATTTGAGCACCTCCATTAGAATAGGAGAACATGAGACATGTTCTGTCTGTCATGCACATCTGGGGGTCTCTAATTCATTGCAAATGCTTTTGCTTGGCTTACCCTTCTGAATTGCCCAAGGAGACCAAACCTTAGTCCTTACTGCTTGATTTTTTTTACCCTTTCAGGGTGTGTTCTTGTCCATGTAAGTTTCTATAATTCTACATTTTACATAATCATTTACCTGCAGCATTTTTTCTGTCTTGGTTCATAATGAAATTAAATTGGTGAGATTGCTCTAGGTGCCTCTCTTTAATCCCTTCCCAGTACTTTTCAATTGCTAATGCCAATTTTAATCTAATTGGACAGAAACATTAATGGTTCCAAAGATGCTGATTTTATACAACATATTTTGAAATCAGCATCTGAGTAGAAGAAACAAAAACTACTCTTTGTATTAAGAGAAAGAATACAATAATTTCCTGTTCTTTTACCAGCATCCCTAGCCAGGCACTAGCCTCAACACAAGCTTCCCTTGTCCTGGCAGGAAGCCGAAGAGGACATAGGTAATATTACGTGACAGGAGCAAGGGATATCGTGAAATATGCCAGGCAAACATACAAGAGAGTGTAAAGTACTGCAGAAATTCATTTTGACATCTGATGATCTAGAATAATTTAGAGATTTGTTGTAAAGTTCTCTGAATATTCTCAGTAATTCTCAACTGGAATAATGTGTTTCAATGTCCTTTCTGTATTTAGCAATTTAGCATACATTACCTTTTCCCACTTGCTACGAATCTCTTCCACTGTAACAGTGCTGTAAGGATTGGTTGCACTTATTCTCATGCTGTAACTCTGGATGACTTTTTCAACTTCGTTCTGGATTGACAGTATGGCCTGTCGTTCACCATCTGCCTCTGGCAAAGTAGCTTTAAATTGATCATGTGCAGAGATTAAACTCTAAAATCAGAAACGGAGAGAGAAAGCACGAAAACTCTTAACATTTCTTCCAGCATCTGGAAGATCTGCTGTAAATAACCACAGCTCCTCTCTCAACCTCTCGAACATCCTGGCTACTGGGTGTAGATACAGAAAATGATACAATTACCTGAATTTCCTCTATGCTATGGACAATAAACATGTCCTGTAGGTCTTCCATAGCACCTTCCATCCAGTTGTTGAAAGGAGCAGCTCTTTTGGCAAACTCCAGGTGAAGCTGATCAATTGTTTCAAGCAGTTTCTCTGTCCTCTGTACAAGTTGGGAAAAGTGCATTCTTTTGTTATTAGGGCAAGATCTAGCTCCACACACATACCTACCCATAAACAAAGTCATGCCTCAACTTTTGAATTGCATTTGATTGCATTGACTGATTTCACCACCTACTAAAAGGATTCCCACTCCATGCAATAGGACTAGTTGCAGTAAAAGTACTCTCATATCCAACACGTTAAAAGGGGTGGGTGTATGCCTGTGAAATATAATATTGATAAGTATGTTTTAATATTTATCTATATTAAGTATTTTTTAATTTGAATCTATCTGCAAATTAATTAAAATCTGCTAATTTTGATTTAGTGACTTCTTTTAAGCACAAAAAGGAAGAATTACACATTTCCCACTTTGGCATTTATGTGTGCGACTTCCTCTTTTCCAAAATAACAAGGTTTTGCAAAGTATCTCAGTGCTTTGAAATACTCACTACCAAAAATTTACCTACTGCTGGACAGAAAGATATGCAAGACTGCAAACTCAGACTGGTATGAAAAGGTAACCAACCAATAGCTTTTTTTTTTTAGCCTTGCTGGACATCAGATTCCCACAGAGTTGTGCTACAAACCACACGCCATTTGTTGCTGCATTAGAACTGTCTGTGGCAGCTCAGTACTGTCAAGTCTACTCTGGATAATTCAGTCCATTTGCAAGAGTAACCACACCAAAATTAAACTAAGATCTGAGGAAAGGGTTTTTTGCTATTCGGACTTCAAAGTGGATGCTTAAAGGCACCACTTGCAGATCTGAAATAAATAGTTCATTTCCCTCTCCCTTCCTCAGCTGAGCTGTTGATCCTTATTATATGGTTTACCTCCAGTGCCTCTCTCCTTTTCTGAGTGAGTGTTCCCAGACTGTCCCATTGGTCACATATCTTTTGACATCTATCATTGACACTTGCAGCATCGTGGTAGTCCAGTTCACTAAGAAAGAGCAAAGGCAAAACTCTGTGTGACTTTTTTAAAGACAGGAGCAGTGTTCTCAATTCCACTGGCTCTCAACAATTGTTCCCCTCTTTGCAATATTTCTCCTAAGGTAAGCAAGTGTTGCAGTATAGACACTGTGTTTAGGCATTCAGCATTTCAAGAAGCACAGCATAGGAACAGGATCAATCCCCTCTGTTCTGAGAAAAATCAAGTGGCATCCAGGTATTAATCACAATTAAGGTCACTGTCCAAGCATCTTTGTCATAGCTATTCCTGTGACATGAGCAATTTGATCCCCTGATGGCCAGAATGTTTCAGTCTTGGTTTTTAACAAATTTGCACAGATTGGTACCTTTTAAATTAATTGTCCTGAAATATCCACTTTGTTTTAAATAATCCAATGATCCTTTCCTTATATGCTTTGAAAATATTTAACTGAGAAGCACAAATCAGGTTGCATTCAAAGCATAATCTCTCACATGCCTGGCAATACTAATAGGGACTTTCAAGATCTGCGGAGCAGAGAACAATTTTCATCTTCCTCTCTAGGATCTCCTCACAGATCTACATCCCAGAACTGGCTGGTTTGGAGAACGGGGATTTCCAGATCCACATATGCCACCAGGATGAATGAGTGCATTCACAAAGGACAGCAGGTACCATTGCTTTTTCACCTGCTTAATAGGTTAGTATCATCCTGAAGTAATCAACTTACTATTCTGCCTGTGACTCTAATAAATTTTTGAGGTTATGTCCTGAGATTCTGGACTGACTCTGCTTCAAACTGAACTTTTGATCTCAGTGGCAAATGATAAGCATCCATAATACATGTGTCTGATGCTTTGGAAACTCCCTTTTATTGGTGCATCACCATCCATTGAATTTAGTTTTTGGCTTTGCCTTGAGAACACTATGCCCAGTACTAAACGCTGCAGAGACTGTAAATACGTGACACATGTCAATAATGAATCTAAGGTTTACTTTGAGGCTTGAACAAGACAGCAAATGCAGATAGAATTTATTCCCTTTTTGTTAGAGCATTCTTCTCTAGGCAATTGGCAAGAGGAACGAACAGATCACACTGCCAGTAATGCAGAGAATCACAGAGGACAAAATGAGAACAGAGGTAGCTTTCCTCTGTGAAGCCAGAGGGCAGAAGCCAGCAGCTCTGTAGGCCAGGGGCCATGTTCATGTTTCCTCTTCTAAGACAAGTCAAAGCAATCTGGTTTGGGATAAACCTGAGAAGTGTAAGAAGCACTCTGTTTAAAAGAAGCTTCAGATGTGCTGCAATCAATTGACTGTTGAAAGTGAGGAATGGTAAAACAGGTAAAAAAAATACCATAACAGAAATCACAGAATTACAAAGTCACAGAGTGGGTCAGGTTGGAAGGGACTAGAGTGGCTCATCTGGTACAACCTCCCTGTTCAAGCAGGGTCATCCTAGAGCACATGGCAGAAGATTGAGGCCAGGCAGTTCTTAAATATCTCCCGTCAGGGAGACTCCACAACCTCTCTGGGCAATGTCTTCCAATGCTCAGTCACTCTCACAGTAAAGAAGTTCTTCCTCATATTCAGGTGGAATTTCCCGTGCATCAGTTTCTGCCCATTGCCTCTTGGCCTATTGCTCAGCCCCACTGAGAAGAGCCTGGCTCCATCCTCTTGGCACCCTCCCTTTAGACACTGATAGACATTGATGGGGTCCCTTCTCAGTCATCTCTGCTCGAGGCTGAACAGGCCCAACTCCCTCAGCCTTCCCTCATAAGAGAGATGGTCTAGTCCCTTCATCATCTCTGTATCCCTCCACTGGCCTGCTCCAGGAGCTCCATCTTTCTCTTGTATTGAGAATCCCAGAATTGGACCCAGCATTCCAGATGTGGCCTCACCAGGGTTGAGTAGAGGGGCAGGATCACCTCCCTCGACCTGCTGGCAATGTCCTTCCTAATCCATCCCAGGACACTATTGACCTTTTTGGCCACGAGGACAAGCTCTTGGACAGCTTGTTGCCCATCAGGACCCCCAGGTCCCTCTCCACAGAGCTGCTTTCCAGCAGCTCAGGCCCCCACCCTGTGCTGGTGCAGGGGTTATTCCCCCAGGTGCAGGACCCTGCATGTGCTTTTGATAAATTTTAGCCAGTTCTTCTCTGCCCATCTCTCCAACCTGCCAAGGTCCTTCTGAAGGGCTGCACAGCCCTCTGGGGTACTGGTGCCCCCCTCCCAGCTTTGTGTTATCAGTGAACTGCTGAGGAGGGATCTGCCCCTTCACCTGAGTCATTGATGAACAAGGTGAATAACACTGGGCCCAGTGTTGTTGGACCTTGGGGGACACTACAAGTGACAGACCTCCAACTTGACCATGTGCCACTGAGTACGACGCTCTAGGGTCTGGCACTCAGACAGTTCTGAATGCACCTCACTGTCTACGCATCCAGCCCACACTTCCTGACTTTGCCCATGAGGCTGTTGTGAGAGACGGTGTTGAAAACTAAAGCCAAGAAAGGCAAAATAGTCTTCCCTCATCCATCCAGGTAGTTGACTCATTGTAGAAGGCTGGTCAAGCATGATTTACCCAACTACTTCTGATCAACTTCCTGTCTTCCCTATGGCTAGAGATGGCCTCCAGAATCAAATGCTCCATCACCTTGCCAGGGATTAAGATGAGGCTGGAGCTACTGGCTGGTAGCTCACTGAGTCCTCTTTCTTGCACTTGCTGCAGACTGGGGTGACATTTGCTTTCTTCCAGTCCTCAGGCAACTCTCCTGATTGCCATGGACTTTAAAAGATCATCATGAACAGCCTCACTATGGTATCCAACAGTTCTTTTAGCACTCATCGATACAGCCCATCAGAGCCCATGGACTTGTAAGATGTCAAATTTGTCTAGGTGTTCTCTAATCCAACCCTCCTAATAATTTTAAAAAATAACAAAAACAACCCAAAACTGTGAAAGTAAACTCTCATATGTAAGGAGAAAACTGCCAGCAAGGCACACTGTTCAAGGGCTCCTTATCTGGAAAACTCGCTTCCTTCTTTGGAAGCCTTTTCATTAGCCTTCAGGGGGTACAACAAAAGCCACCTATCTGCTAAGAAATTTTAAGTCAGGAGTGTAGAGTCTTGGATGAAACAGGCTGAGATTGATTTTTCTGTCATGAGCTTTTGGCCGAAAGTTGTTGGGTTTTTTTTTTTTTCATTATAGCTTCATTTAGTTTATTAGATTATGTTCCTTAGTGAGCAAACTTTATTTCTGCTTCAATGAATCACTTATCTCCTTTTGTCAGTTAAGGGTAAGGGCAGGTGTCCTTCCATGAAAGTGAGGGACTGATTGTACCAGCTGTGGTCAAAGTCTTGGAAGGTGATACGCCACCTTCCTCCACAAGCTCTGCCAGGGAGATTCAGTCATTCCCCATAAGAATACTCTACTATCCTCTTCCTTCCAGAGATGTGTGCAGTGGACAAATAGGTAGGAGAATAATATAAAACCAACTTTTAAAAAGGCCTCCCATGGTACTAACTGAGTAAATCCTAAGTTAGTTTACCAAGTAGCATTAAGCAGTGTAGCTCCACTACCTTTCTGGGCCTGCTGTTGTTTACTTCAAATAAGTGTATTATAGGTATCAAAGAACATTTTTTTGCTCAAAGCAGGAGCAGAGGAAGTAATAACCCATCAAAGATTAATTAGTTGGAAATAAAACACAGGCTTACATTCCCTGTCCTATTAATTTTTGTATCTTTCTCAACACTGAAGATTTACATTGTGTAAAAATTTTTACTTTGCAGTGCATGAAGTACTGCTTCTCATGTGTTACAGACCTTCTAAGAAATCAATCTTTATATTTGTTTGGGCATTTGAAACCTACAGCTTTGGGAATTTAAAAATCATTAGGTTACCACTACTGATCTTACAAGTAACTCAATCTGTCAAAAATTTAAAATTCAGTGATATTTTGACCTGATCCAGAACTCACTTAAGGATGAGTTCACTTTGGGAACAGTGATAGTGCCACAAAAATAACCTGCTGAGCAACATGTTTTAGCAGTGCTTCAGAACAACGCTCATGTTAATCATGCACATAAGCACAATTTGAGCCCAGGTCTCCAGATCTAAAATCAGTCTTACAGATAATGGTCTTCTTGGCTGAAAATCAGTCACTATACTACAAGTGATGGATATACAAGAAACTACATTCCAAAAATTTCGTCTTGATGATTGCAAACATTGATATGAGCACATCAGATCATAAATTAATATGGGTTTTTATAGTGCAGCTCACTCAAATTAGCATTTGCTATGTCATAAATGGCAAATCTCATTTTAGAAATGCCTGTCCCCCTTCAGCTTTATATAAAGCCCTCTCCAAGCCCTGTCATGCCTCTTTGCCAAGGAATATCTAAGTCTATACAGGCTGGGAACACAACAATTCTATAGCAGCATCCTGGCTGGAATCACCTGTTTGCACACAGACATAAATTCTCTATCTAAATAGTCAGTCAACAAGCTGCAGCAACTTTAACCTTAAGCACACAGTGGACTGAGCTGTAGCAGAAAATACCAGGACAGGAAACTGTAGCTAGTAGAGTTCAAGGTCATACTGCAAGAGTTCTCCTTTGAAACTGCAAAATTAGGCATCCAACAGATTGACTAAAACAAAACATGGAAGTGTACTGACTTGGAATTTCAAAACAAATGATAATGGCTTCTGTAAGGGCTTGCTCCAGTGATGAGCAAAAAAACAACCAACCCACCAATGAAACAAACAAAAATCAAGAAATACCCACTTACTTCAATAGGCTTTGTATCAGATGCCAATGCACATTTCTTTGCATTCAGACATTAATCCTTCTTTAAAAATACGGATTAAGAAAGAAATTAGCATTTTCCTCCATAATTTTATTGTGCGAGGAATTGTGTATAAAATATTTAAATAGAAGCTGCCCATTAGCTTGCAGCCAGTGATAAAACCTGACATTTATGTCCTTTTATTCAGTGTTCCCCAAGGGGATTAAGACCAACTGAGTTACAGAGTCACAGTGAAAAATCAGTCACTGATAGCACCATTGTATGGAGAAGCAGAGAAGTCAAATTAGAGCATCTCTAAATGCAATCAGCTTTCAGCACCTTTGCAGCCCAGGCCACAAATAACTTGTTTTACTTCACACAGCAAATTACTGAAACAACTGAGAAGAGACAATCCCAAAATAGACAGGATACAGTGTTCATTGGCGTCACCAGAGGTAAAGGACAGAGGGTTCAAAAGACTGGTAAGCAGATGCTGTGCCATGTATGCTACATTCCCGGAGTTTCTCATAATTCATAAAGCTGAAGCTGAATTAGCAATGATTAGGTGTTACAAAAACTTTTTTTAGTATAAAGAGAAACAAATCTTGGGGCAATCCCAAGGACAAACACAGGCTGGCTAGAGAATGGATTGAGAGCAGCCCTGGGATGAAGGATTTGGGGATGTTGGTTAACAAGAAGCTAAATATGCCCCAGCCATGTGCACTCATAGCCCAGAAAGCCAAAGCAGCATGGGCAGCAGGGCCAGGGAGGGGATTCTGCTCCTCTGCTCTGGTGAGACCCCAGCTGGAACCCTGCATCCAGCTCTGGGGCCCTCAGAGAAAACATGGACCTGTTGGAGTGAGTCCAGAGAAGCGACACAAAGATGATCAGAGGGGTGGAGCATCTGTCCTAAGAAGACTGAGAAGAGCTGGGGCTGTCCAGCCTGTAGATGAAGATGTTTTGAGGAGACCTTAATGCAGCCTTCCAGTGCCTAAAGGGGACTTACAGGAGAGCTGGAGAGGTACATTTAATGAGGACAAGGGGGAATGGTGTTAAACAGCAAGAGGGCAGGTTTGAACTGGATATTAGGCAAAAATTCTTTACTGTGAGGATGGTGAGGCACTTGAACATGTTGTGTGGAAAAGCTGTGGATGCCCCATCCTCAGAGGTGTTTGAGGCAAGGCTGGATGGGGTTTTGAGCAGCATAATCCAGTGGAAAATATCCCTGTCCATGGTAAGGGTCTTGGAACTAAATGATCATTAAGGTCCCTTCTAACCTAAGCCATCCTATGAAATAACTACACAACAGAGATCAAGGCATGCCAGAAAGTGTTTCATAATCTCACATATTCAGGGAAGTCTCCATTCTCTGTGTTTTTTTCTGATTTCTTTCTCATGAACCAAAGCACAGTACTTAATCTGCCCACTGTGCTTTATTTTTGTTCCTTTAAATAATCCTGAAGACAGGATTTTTTTTTTAATCCATTTGTATTACACAATTAAGCGCTACTGTTATCAGCTATAAACTACATTTTTAGACAAGTATCTGATTTTTAATCGTTAATGAATATGGAGCTGTTTGTGAGCCATGGTCCTTCACAAAGTGAAAAAAGGGCATGTTTCTAAGATTTCGTTTCCGAGCAGTAACTGTTCTGCCTGTTCAAGGTGAGAAATTGAAACTTGGAGAGCTGAAGCCAAGGGCAGGAATCTGAGAACAATTTACCGAGTTTCCAGTGTCCCTCCTGTAAAATGGAGACAATGGCACTTCCAAATATAATATCAAGAGATTGTGAAAATAAACATATTAGAGACAATTAAATCTGCAGGAAGTCAGTGCATTACCCACTATTATACAGATAATAAAGGGATTAGAAGCCTTTTGGAAGGACCAATATACTTGTGAAGATACTTGATCTGTAATTCGTGTACGTGAAATTATTTTTTAAGTTAAGTAATTCATAGCCTGTACCTCTCAGCAGGCCATATGAACTGAGAAATAAACACCTCCAGGATTCCCATCAACCCACAATGGACCCATGGGTAGAGCTAATGCTAAAATATTACTGTGAAGTTAAGTTGAAAATGTTTCTTTTCAAATAATTTTGGTCAGTTGAATGTCTATATTTGGCTGAGGGTAAGGGGGAGATGAGGGAAAGGTCTCAGTGACCAGCTCAGATAATATACTTATGAAGCTATGCCTGGAATCCCTACGTTGGTACCTATGACACTATCAAATTCATTGGAAAGAGTTTATCGCAAAGTTAAATGTCAGCAGCTGCAAGCCTTTAAATGGAACATACTTCAGCTCCTGGGCAATGGCAGCAATCTGTTCCACCCTGTCCTGGTGAGCAGCCAAATCGCTCTCAAAAGCTTCATGTTTCCTTAACATGGCACGGACTTCTGTCAGAGAGGCAGACTCATAATCCTTCTGAAGCAAGGTCTGCTCTTTGCCTGAAAGAGAAATGAAAATATTACTAAATTTTTAGTTTATTTACTCCTTAGTTTTAGTTTATTTACCCATTTATTACTCAATTTTTTTGTTAGGAAAATTGTAAACTTAATCAACTTTTTAGTTGAGGCATGGTGAAAATCATATATATGAAATTAAATCCCAACCCCACTAAAATCAGCAGCAAATTGTCCACATATGTTAATTAGAAACATATAATTTTAAAGCTCTCACAGTAATGTCCTGGTTTTTGCATAGGCTGCTTATACAGGTCTAAAATAGTGAATTATTAGATTGCTGGAGAAACTGGCATAAAAATGGTATATTAGTAAAAACTGTATCTCTAAGCCACTGTAATAATTTTTGTAGAATAGACTTAAAAAACAGAAATCACACTGCTATGCTCAGCTTCACTTTTGCTAATGGTCTGTTATTCTTTTTTATGTTCTGCCTTCAATTCATTAGTCATTTCAGCACTTAAAAAGAAAAATAAACCCAAGATGTGTGACTGCCTTTTGTCTTGAACACTGAATTTTAAGTGGAAAATGCCAACTTATCTACAAAAGGCTAGAGAAACAAAGATTAAGTAGAAACTGAAATACTACTGCTGAGTAGCTCCTATGTTGGACAACTGAATCCAAACAGACAGGCCCTGCAGCTGCACTCGCCACATGGCATTTGCAGCTCTGTGGATCCTAGAGCCAGAAGCAACTATTGTTCCACTTGCTGTGTACCAGCTTATGTGAAGTTTTCCCTACACAACAGCTATGACTTGTCAACATGAGTAGTTTATGCTCAGAAAATCAGCTCTCAGGGCTCATAAATGCTGTAGTTTCCCTTCTAGCGTCTGCTTGGCATTTATAGCCCTCCATGCTTCCAGCAACTCTGTTAAAGGATGGGCTCTGATTCACTTTCAGTGTCAAAAGAATCTAGCTAGGAAAAGCCAGAAGTGTGACAGAAATGGGAAGAGAGTCATCAGGATGATAAAGCAGACCTATGTTTAATAGTCCCCAACAAAACTGAACACCACTGTAAGGTCCTACAGGTGTCACAACTACAGGTAAGGTTAGGTTACCATTAAAAACCAGAACTATAAATAGCATAAACTTCAGGGTTTAGAGCAAAGCAGACATGAGTCCACTATCATGTAGTTTATCTGGACTATTCAGAACATCATGATCAAATAATAATAAACTCAGAATACTTCTGTTAAGAATTTCACATTCAACCAGTGGTGTGACTGCATTCCTGGTTGGATTACTGGTGTACAACTACGTAGGAATACATTAACGGAAATGGCCTCTATTCAAATGCAGAATATTCCCATTAAGTTTGACTCACTACCTCAAGTATTATTTTTACAAGTATTATTTTTAAAGTTACATCTCATTAGCAACATGCCAACAAGTTAGGACCATGACTACAGTCAACAAAACCTGAGATTTTATCTGTTATTATTTTAGATTGTCTGAAGTTGTCCAAACTACTTATGAGTGAGTTCGTAGCTGGCAAATACTCAGCACTGACAGTTCAACTTCAAACATTAAAATACTAAAAATGTTAAAAACCATCTCTCCTCACCATATGCCCACTGTTCATGAGTGGAAGCCTTCTGCCTAAATTTCTCAGCCAAGTGTTCAAGTCTTTCCAGTCGTCGTATTTCATTCAGCAGCCACTCTTCATAGCCTTTCTCAGCTTGTTCAAGTCTCTGCCAAGCACCAGCAATATCCTGTGAAGAGAATACATGGGAGAGATGGATGAAACTATAATCTTTTTTTATCAAAGTTTACAGATTTTTGATTCATTCACAATTTGGCTTCAAAAAGAGAAGTTTTTATGTTCAGATTTTGTAAAATCACAGACTCCTAGAAAATGTTGTCAGGCAGTTGTGTTCTAGTGCAGACACCTGCTCCTCATAGTGTGTTGCGTTCAGGTGGGTTTGAAGAAGCCCCTGTAGAAATGGCTTCCAAGCATGGCTACAGGTCCAAAGTCTTCACAATATATTGCTTTTACCTCCCACTTTACAATGTGTGTTTTCTCTTGTAATATATCTATCTGTTATCAAAATCAAAGAGCTTTGCTTTCACAAGTTGGCAATAGCAAGGTAATTTGTATCAAGAGGATTTGGTGCATGTTTTACCTGGAATACAAATTCATTTCACTTTCTGTAGTACACAAAGTTTTGTGAGCTTCCTGGCAAACTCAAAGACATGAGTGGGAAGCTGAAGCAACAGGGTCCTTATTTTCTGCATATGGGGAGTGGACAATAACCCTTTCCAGACAAAGCAAGTTGCTTTGTTTATGAAAAACAAAACAAATGATAGAATAGAGTACAGAAACAGTTTTGCTGTATTTCACAGGAAATGTTTTGACCCACAGTCAAGTCACAGTACTTATCAGCAGATAAGAATTCTTGGTACAGACTATTCTTATCTTCATAGACATAAGAGAAAAAGCAGAATAGGAAAAAAAAAAACATATAAATGTGTATTGAGCTATGTCTGTTTGTTTGATGGCTAAAATGTCAGTGAAACCACTGAGTTTTGCTTAAATAAGCAATTGATATACGAGTATTGATAACACTTCCAAAGGAAGCTCTATATCATCTTGCATCTCTGGATAATTTGCTTTTGGGAAAGCTTCAAGGAGGCAGGAGCATGCTTATTAGAAAGCAAGATTCTGGAACAAAAGGGAACGTGTAAAAGGAATTTGGTATTGACTAAGTACAACAAACTGATGTTTCTAAGAATGACTGAGAATGGCTTTTCAATCCTTCACATTGGCATTTTTGGGAGATCTTTGATAAAACAAACAGAATATTAATGCCTCCTTTACTTACTGAAACCATTTTCCCCTCTGATGGCATGAAAGCTGGCCGATTGCTGATTCTCAGTTTTGTCTGCAGGGTGTTGAAGTTGATCTCCAGCTGACATTTCTCCTGGACTTTGGGAGGTTTGTGCTTGCGGCGGTAGTCCCGGAAGTCCTCTAATTTCTTCTGCATAGCCTGCATTGTTTTTTCTGGGGTCCTGTTTTCCAGCCAAGGAATTGTCCGGCGAATCCATTCTAAAAGCTTTCAAATCAACAAAAACAAGTCAAATAAAAGCAATGGAAAAACAGCCAAAAAAAAGATTATACTGAGCGTACAAATCTTAATTAATTTTGTGCCATTTTAATATTACTGGCTTCAGTTGGTACTGATGCCTTAATGGTGAGTAAGCACAAGATATTCAAAGCTAAACAATACTTTTCTATTGTATTGCTTTACACAAATACAAATATGCCCAGATGTTCCAGGTATTTCTACAAATAACCTGATTTTCAGAAAGATTAACACACATCTAAGGTGTCTCTAACTACTTAAAATCTAAGTTGCTCAGTATCAACTGCCACTTTCAAAACTATTGGTCTTGATGTTTCAGGCATTCACAGTTATGGGATCGGGACAGAAACTGGCCTCGGGTCATATAAAAATCTTCACTCAGAAGGCCATTAGGCCATCTCAAATTTACATACAAAGTAGTGCTGTGATCTCAGTATGTTTTTGCAGGTTAAGCAACAAAAGATAAGAGAAGTCTCATTTGTGCACTGTACATCTGTAGTTCTGCTCAGCAGATTTGCCATTAAACAAGAAAGGACACGAGGAGCACATTCATGTGTACATTCATCTGTTGTCCTTGCTCACAGATGAATTGTGAACAACCTGACAGACCCTCTCCAGGTGTGCTCTGCAGTACACAAAGCGGAGGGGCTTGCTTGATCTAGTATGTTCCACGTGTGGTCAAGGATGCCTGTCTCTGAAGATTAAAGAGACAGGAAGCCTGGTCTTGGGGCAGATGGATGACAATCCTCAAGACACCCTTTTGGGCACATTAACAAGACTGTCTAACTTGCTGAAAGTCACACAGGAAGTCTGTGGCAAAGGAGAACCCAAAACTCGATGTCTTAGGCAACTGGGCCTTGTAACCTGCCACTGAGAGATTTACCCTTACAATGTCTCCACCTTTCTGTCTTGAAGAGAGTGCACAAGTCTTTCAGCTTTCAATATTTCATGAACATTGTTGTCACCACATTACAGATAGAGCATCCTTACCTCACTTGCTAGTCTCTCATACTCTTCCATCAACCTTTCATTTTCCTGATTCACAGCAAGCACCTTACAGATCCGGTTAGCCGCAGTCTCAGCCTGTAACACACAGCAAATAAATAGGACATATTATAAACACATTCTGGGCTTGGAGAAAGAGAGAATGTGGCTGCTGCAAATTTAAAAAAAATCACATTTTTTATAGTTGATGATTTATGCTCCTAGGTTGCTTAGATACTCATTTTCCCTCCTTCTGCAGCCATAGATTCCAATGGCCTAAATGAGGCACAGATCAGCACAGAGGTCCCCTTGTTGTACAATGAAGCCTTATTATATAGTTGTCTAATAAATCTTTTATTTTTTAAGACAGCTTAGGCCATTCTTAAAGATATCCTATTAGGTTTTTTTTTTAAGTCACATCCAAAAAGTATTAGATTTGTTAGCCACACTGGAAAGACACCACATGTAATGCAGGAGTTTCAGACCACTCTATATCTGTACTACCCTTGAGAATAAGTGCAGCTCAACCACTGACAGCAAATCTTTTCATGCCTCCTAATAAATTTATATGTGAAGGCTCTGTGTAGCTCTGCCATATTTTAAATTTACTTGTTTGATACCACAAAGCAGTACTTTCATACAAATATGACTCTGGAATCTATCTAATCAAATAAATATCCATGTAGACTCCTGTGTTACAGAGTATTTGGATGAATAGCAAAACCTTTTGCATGAATAGCAAAATCTTCCTACCCAGGAATGAGAGAGTGCAACAGCATAGCTGTAGTAAGGTATAGGGGACCTAGCAGATAGGAGGGGAAATTCAGTCCTGAGGAAGAAGGGAAAATATCAGCTACTTTAAAGGTTTCTTGCATTTTTTTGTAACATAAGTTGGATTGTGTCCATTTGTGTATGAAAGAGTTGGGAAGTGCCACATTTGTAAGTGAATAGCCCACTAATGACAGGTCTGCTGATGATGTTCATGCCTTTTATACAAATAGTTCTGTTGGCTTCAGTGGGAACCAGGCACAAAAACTGTGTTGGATGTCTTTGCCTTTCTGTCTCTTTAGTCATCCTTGAAAATCTAGACCTAGACTGCTACTCAGCATGACTAAGTCTCAGTCTCCAAAAGTCAAACATTCCATTATATAGGAAAAACATTAGGTATTGTAGCGACAAGCAACAACTCCACTTAACAATATCTTCAAATCAGTTTTTTTCTGAAACAGTCCTCAAAATTGACCAAATAAAGACCCAAAATTAGAAACAGAATGTCTATTTGAATTAAAGAAGTTAACTTGTTACACAACAATTAACTAAAACAGGTTTAAGAGTGGGTTAAAAACAAATATTAGTGCTCAAGTAATACTTGCAAATGTTAATTAAAACCACACAGTAAATTAGTTAAGTTGTTTTGGGTTTGTTTTTTTTTAATAAACTAGTGGAAATGTGAAACAACCAATCAAAAACACAGCAACCTGAAGAGACAGTTGATTAATACCTGCTCTGCTCCAGCAAAAGCATGGTAGAAGCAGGACACATATGTCATGATAGCTCTCTCATCAGGTTTGGGAGTGTTCACAATATCTACAAGAGGGGGGAGAAATTAAAATAAAACAAGAAAAAGAAGAATCGAGGAGTAGAAAATAGGATGAATAAATAAATGCATTACTTCATGTCCTTCTTACTGTTTTCTTGTCCTTAGCTCTGTATCCAAGAAATTCTACAAAGCTGTAAAAAATTTACTGTTAAATTGAGGGGTCCTGGTGGAATAAAAAATACACTAAAAAATCAATATAAGCTAATACAAAGAGGATGATTTTTTTCATTAAGCTTGATCCAGCAGTATTGTCATGGGGGGGACTAACCCTAATTTTACCAGGACTGTCTGATTAAGAACTGGCACACGTATGTCTGGTGACTTAAATGGTGAGGACTTTGACTGAGACCCAGGAAAGGCAGACTGCATTTCAGTCTGAGGAGATATTCTCCAGAAGTTGCATTTTAGCATTATGTATCAGTATTTTTTATATTACCAATACCTGAAGTATGCCCAACTCCAAACCGCCTCACTTTTTAGAATTTTCCTTCTTTTCTTTAGGATATGATTCCAGAGCTTGTCTGAGCTGTCTATACATGTTTCTGTTTTGCTTAGCAGCATCCTTTGATGTTGCTGTTTGTACTTACCATTAAACATTTAACATTTTAAAAACAATCCTGAAAGCATAGGAGAAGGGTTTATTTTCTGAGCATGTTATGATGATTTTGACATCTGTAGCAGCAATAATATCCAGCAGAGAGAAGAAAGATGGAATTCTAATATTGTTTTTCACTCTGAGCTTATTTTCATCTTACATTTTTAATGGTGCTTCAAATGAACGCACAAAAATTCATTTTAAGGGAATATCATCCTCTCCCATTCAGTAACTAGCTGTTTAAAAGCTACTGGATATTATTAGTAAATATGCAAAAATGTGAGACAGGAAGGTTTGTTTCTATGGAACAAATGGATAGACCACTACTGGCTCTACCAAAACAGCAGCTCACAGAGACAAGAGGTGACAGGAAATGAGCTCAGCTCTAAGATGCTGTTCTAGTGAGGAAAAGATCAGAAAAGGAAAAATTGCTGAAAAAAACAAGACAGAAGGTGAAGGATGAGATCTGATCCATCTACAATCTCACCTTCTGAGCACCAGCAAATGCATGGTAGTAACAGGAAACATAAGTCATAATGGTTCTTTCATCAGGTCTGGCAGTGTTTACTACATCTGTGTGGAGAGAAGAGGGTTAACTGCTCAGAAATTCTCACAAGGTACTTTCATCTGATTATGCTAATGGTGCCACCTCAGTGCTGTAAGGATTCCAAATAAATACACAATTATTCAGGTTGCATCTGTTCACTGATATGAGTGCAAATTCACCTAAGCTTTAGGAATCAGCAAGCACAAAAGATAGAACTCTCCCTGAAATGGCAAAACATCTGAGGGCTGAGACTGTACAGAAGGGTATTGCTACCTTCTGGTTTGTGGAAACTTCCAAGCAGATGGCATGGCTGGCAGATCTGCTGGGTTCAGCTTCACTGCCACTCCAAAGCAACTTCATCTGAATCACTGCAATTACTGCAGAGCTAAACACAGCCACTGACAGTCACAAACCAGAACTGCACTCAGTGTGTATCAGCACAGGGTCCCTGTTGCTGACAGGGTACTGGCATATACTGGGAACCTGTACAAGTCCTGCAGTCCAGAAATACATTTTGTGCTGAGAAAAGTTGGATAGTAACAGCTCTGCAATCCCTGTGCCAGCCCATCTTTTTAGTTAATAGCATAAATCACAGGAGGGTTTGGCTTGGCTGGCTAATAGCTTTGTCCCTACCATGGCAGGAGAGTGAAAATACAAAGTGGGTGCAATCAAGGTATGCATCCATGGGTAAAAATGGACCTTCTCAGTACTTAACAAAGAAAGGCAGGAAAAGGTGTTGTTACAGCAGTTATGGCTGAGCAATGAATGATTGTAGTTCAAGCTGGATGAATTCCTGTCAATGTAAGGAGAGCAAAGATAGTGACTTGGAAAGACCCTAGAATGAGTGAAAACTTTTAATGTTAACAGTGAAATTTCTAAGTTCGGGACCAATATATTTACTGATTTTAGATCTACTTTATGTAGCTGTGAACAAAACTTGGCAAAGTTTCCACAGAGAGCACAGTGCAAGTAAAGATGGTAAAAAGTGACCATGAATACTTAAAGGGTATTAGAAAGAATATAATTTCATTACTGCCGAGAGGAGAATAGTAAGATAAGGAATAGAATGTGCAGAAAATTTGGTGAGGAAAATAAAAGATTTTTTATATTGACTACAAAGAGAAGAGGAAAAAATGTAGAAAGCTGCTCAATGGCAAGGGTACAGCACTTCTCTGTTTATTCCTTGCACAGTTATTTCAGAGCAAAATAATTAAGTGGTATTGTTGAAAGGGGAATTGCAGTTCAAAAGAGGAAAAAAAATTGTTTTAAAGCATGAAAGTGAAACTACTCTTCAGTGAAGAGATTACAGCCTAGAGTTTCCAAATCATCCTGTCTAACTTTCCAAATGAAGACTTCAAGAGGAGCAGGTGTAGTCAGTTTGAGTGCTCTAGATAATTCCCATGTTATCACTGCTCTACTGACAAGCCACCAGAACTGAGTCTCCATTCTCGGGGAAGAATGCTTTGAACTAATGTAGGCAAATTCCAGTATTTTGGCAGCATTTTTTGCCCAGAGTACGAAAGTTTAATTGTCTTGAAGAAATTCAGGAAATACTCAAGATAATTGGAGACACATGAATTATTTGTTAAAAGTATCACCTCAAAAAGTTTGCAACTAAAATGAACCAAAAAAATGCTTCTCTCAACCTACCTCTCTTTCAGAGGGGATGAGGCATGTGTTAGTATATTTTGAAAGCTTTGAAAGTACTTCTACTATTTCTATTTTTGGCCCCTCGCTTAAAGCATATTCAGTTTTTTTAATGTTTAAGTTGCTAACAGTTATATTTCCCATTATTAAATTTGAATTATTAAAAGCAAGGATTAACTTTTGATCTTGCATTTTACCTCAACACAGTAGGGCCATGTGCTGAGGTTAGAGTCCAGAGCACCATAATAAATGCAAACATTAACAAACAATAAATAATAAAGCAAAAAGTGAGTGGAATTATCCAACACGTTCAGGAAAGAGATGAAAATATTTTTTGAAAATTAAGTAGGTTGCTATATTATTATTCATATGGAAGGAATACTGAAAATCTTCTAGGAAAAAAAATTTAAATAGAAATTTTACTGTATCCTGCTTCTTAGCAACACAAACTTCAGTAAGGTGTAACTCTCACCTTCTGCATCCAGCATCTTTGGAATATCCAAATGCTTTTCAGCAATTTCCATGGCAAGGTTGATATTCCCTATGGGGTCATCCTGCATTAAAGAAAAAATACAATGAGTCAAAGATAGAAGTTTTTCTTTGAAGCAAGACTAGAGTATGTACACGAAAACTTCGCTTCTGTTTTTCCAAACTGCAAACTGTTTTTCTTCAAAAAACAGAGTCTAGGTATATGAACTTCTGGTCCAGCTGCTGCTATGTTTTGAAAAGAAAACTTTAATAAGGTGTTATCTACTGCTAGAACTCTACTGGAAATACATTCTGGAGGTGAACACAGATAACAGTGCACACTCAGTTCTGAGCTAATTCTGAATGAAGTACAGCAGCAACACAGACACTAAATGCCACTGGACCAGCAGGCTAAATGAGACTGTTCAACACAGAGTTAGCCCTGCCTGTTTTATACCCACTATACATCACAGGGATATGACTTCTACTGAGTTCTCTGCTGGTTAGGTGCCTGCATGAGAAGAAGCAAGCACAGGCAGAATTGTTCTCCAGAAGGAGCGAAACTTGCCAGTTTGGGCTTGGAAATAAAAATCCATACTGCCTCTATAAATGGAATTTTAGGGCTGTGGAAATTCAATCATTTCCTCTGGTTTTGAGATTTTGGTTTTTGAAGGAAAGAGAAAGGAAGTAGTGAGCACAATTCAGATAGAGAGCACAGATTTTGTAGAAGAAAAGTCAAAAGACAGTAAATCTAAGTGAGACCTATTGATTAGGTTAAAGCACTTTGCTTATGAATGAGTGATGAACACCTCCTATTTGTGTGCTTAGTACTAAATGCATGAGTAAATAGTGCTCCACTGGTAAAGGATTACTTTAAAATCAAAGCAGCTTCTGAATAATTGGAGATTTCCATCACCCATCCTTTTAAACAGAACTACAAGCCACAGTAAATAAAAATCTTTGCTACAGCTAAAGAAATACCTCATCTAACTTGGCATAGTCAAGGAGATCAGGCCTGTGTCTATGGATAAGGGCGTTGAAAGCAAGGCCATCTTTCCAGCTACAAGTTCACACAAAACACATTGGTGAGAAAAGGAAAGGACAGCATGCAGGCGGTAAGAAACAAGACACCAAGACAGCTGTTAATGTAACCAAAATGAAGAGTCAATCAAACAGCCAGGCCAGAAAAGCGAGATCTATTTTAGGATTTTTTTCTGCATGTGCTTTACGTGCAACAGCTCAGCCTCAATTTGAAACCTGACCTGTTCTTATTTTGGAAACCTCCAAGAGGAAAATAGTAGCATTGAAGCAGACCTGCTTATGTTCTGTTCCTTTTTCTCAGCACTCATCTATGGGATGGTTCACTGTGATGTTCTTCAGCACCACGTACCACTATTCAAAGCACAGATTCAATCAAACTCACTTCTGTTCATGCCATGCATTATAAGCACATGTGCACAGAGACAGGTAGCTCAGTCATTCCATTACTCTGTTTATCTGTAGGAAAGGTTGCATATAGAATTGGAGAACAAGCTGGTATTGATGGCTAATATTTTGCCCATTGGTTCAGATCTGGGAAGTTATCTTAACAGCTGCCTAAATGTGGTCAGTACTAAGTTCATTAAATTTTCATCACTGCACATTTCAGGGACTCTGGCATAAATTGAACATATCAACATATAAAGCAGAATAAGTTTTAAAATAGTCTCAGTTCATTCATTTATCTTTTCTTCATTGAGGACTTTCTAGTAACAGTTGATTCCACTAGTAAACCAATTTGCAACGAAAGGGCATGGAATTGAAAAATACAGTGGATGTTTTACCACTCTCTCTCATCAATGCAAAGTTGCACACAACAGATTAAAACCATGATTAAGGTTTGTGTTGCACTGGTGTTTACATGAAGCTGGTGTTTACATTCATTCCAGAGGAGAAATCAGCGCGCATATATATTGAGACCTCACGTGAAACAACATTCTATTTCTTTCTAGGATTTTTCCTTCAGTAATGATACCAAGAAATTCTGACATTACTGATCATTCCTCATTTCTCCCTTTCAAAACATAGTATCTTTTAGAAAGCATGCATTTTGCTATAAGTAGCAGACTGTAATAAAACAGTTTTTAATCCCTATGAGGTACTACTAAGGAGGTTACCTTATGGGTTTTGCTTCCATTTGTCTGGAAGTATAGGTAGAAGAGTAGATCTGAGAATCAGTGAATATTTTCTGAATATGTAAGACTAATAATTTACTGTGTATTCCTAATTAGCAAGGGTAGTGTTTGTTCTGAGGAATTTTAGGATTAATTGTCATGTCATTGTTTACTGCAATCTACAATCTACAGTCATTTACACCAGATAAAAACAGGATGGACAATACTATCAGTGTTAAATGAATAATTCCAAAGTATTTGTTTTAACATCCATATTAGGCAGTATAAATACTTCATCAACTGTCAGAATTTGAGGGCCAGATTATTTGCAATTAAATGCTGAAGTCATTTTAATGGGAAGGAAAGAACACGGGACAGTCAGGAGGTCCTCTCCCTTGTGTCATTGAGGTTTATTTGGGAAGGGCCTTAGAAAGTCAGAATTAGTATGCACTCCTCAGCCTGTCTTTTAAAAAACATGCTAAGCAAACCAGAAGCCAGCCAAATCACTGCAGGACAGCATGCTGTACCACCCAGACTGATGACCTTATTTAGCTTGGAGTAGTCAATAAGATCAGGTCGGTGTCTGTGGATAAGTGCACATAATCCAAGGCCATCTTTCCAGCTTTACAGCAAAAAAATAAAATGGAAAAAAAAAATTAGTTAATAAATTCATGGCATTTTACAGTTTGATCCTTGCTCAAGGCTCAAATTAAAGCAGGAATTCTGTCAAATCCTGAACTTATGTCAGCTGTCTCTGAGCTGCTCTGTTACTGTACTCCTTTATCTACAGTACATACCTTACTCTACAGTCCATACACACTTAAGGTATACTCATAAACTCCATGCAGACTTTGCATACTTTCTAGGCAATGTACATTTTGTGCAACAGTCCCTGATTTGAATTGCTTAATTCATGCAGTGTTCTAGGACAGCTCAAGTACACATTCATCCATGAAAGAGCATCATCTCCCATTACACTCGCAGAGTATTTGTGAAAAAATAAAAGGAGAGCAAAGCTGCAATTATTTGAATTTGCTGAAGCAATTGGCTTTTCCTCTGTTATTTCTGAGAATTTTACTGGCACAACCATATGCTCAAAGAAGTAAGAAATCATAAATCATCTCAGTTTATTTAATTAACACTTCACACATGACAGCTTTGATCTGAGTTCTTACACTTCACCCTGACTTCAGACCTGCTACATTTTGTGGCAAGAACAGAAAATGAATGGAGCTACAAATAACATATTTTTGGAAAGATTATGAGAGGCTTCTTTCAGCCAGAAGCAATTATTCTGAAAGATACTTCATGTGAAGACTTCAGGCAATCACAGGGACTGAGGGTTTGAGGTCTTGTCCTGTGCAGTAATTGTGTGAGCCTTAGCATGTTAACACTGCTAAAATTCCTACTACTGACATGTCTGGGTAAGTCCTTCAAGTAATAGAACCATCTCCAAAAAAGGTAACAAAATCAAGCAGAATATACCTACATTGTATAATATAAAATCATCTGGAATGTAAAACCAAATCAAACTGAGCACCAAACATTTTCTTTTTCTCTTTCCAAAAGGTGTAAAATAAAATTATCTGGATAGCCCACTGCAAAGTAGTTCTGTAAGAGCCAATTCACCCAAACATAAATCAAGGTACTTCCATTCAAGATGTTTTCCCCATATCATGTATCAGACCAGTGTATGTACATAAACACACTTAAGATTCTGACACTATAACTTACAGTATACCATCAATCCATAAAAAGTTCTACTAAATATATCTTTGCATATTCTAGGAAAGTAACATAAAACAAATTTCAGATCTCTGAAAGGCAATACAGGGACTGCAAATTTGACAATTTTTTCTTATCTTGGAATATATGTATGAACTGTATCTTCTCTGTCACTAAATGTGCTTTAGGTACTACACATTACAAATTAATTCAAAACACTAATATAGAGCTCTTATTTTAAATATTAGAAGGGTCTTAGGGGAGGGAAGATCACCTGGTTAAACAGTGCACATGGTAAGTCGTGTACGTTACAGAGGTAGGCCAGTGGCAGAGATACAGGAACTAGCCCAGTGAAATCCCCAAAACAGGCAGTCTGTACAGGGCCTGGAATTCCCATCCTAGCTCTTAATGAAAACACAGAAACACAAGGCTGGAGCTTCACTAAATTTTCCAACTTATGTAACGAGCCTGATTCTGTAAACAAATGTGTTTACAGCACTGCTGTTGTGTATGTACCAATTAAATTTTATGCTCCTTATAGTAATGTACATTGCAAAACAATAAAGACTGATTCAACAGAATGAGATTTCACATGCTCAACACACTGGTCTCTTTTCCAGAAGAACTTCCCTGTGGCTCTGATTTGAAAGCAGTCATTTGCCACTATGCTACAATACTCAGGAATTCCCATTTAATACAAAAACCCCTAATAATGTAATACGGTAATTCTGTATACAGCAGGATCTTTTTTTTTAAATAACTCTGAAATTCATAGTAAATAATGCTAAAGGCTAACCAAAATAATACTCTGAAGATAGAGCAGGAGGATTTGAAAAAAGTCTAGTGAAGAGCAAAATTCTCTGATCAAATTTATACCTATACAACTGTGTGGAAAATTTGATATAACATTATTACGATTGCTTCTACCTCTTGAAATAATGGAAGATTACCTAAGATGGAAGTTCTGAATGTTCACATTTCGGTAAGGAGCAGTTTTCCTTTGACACCACAGCAGCAGCCCTTCTTTGGCAGAGGTCTCTGTAAAAGACAAGGAAGTAAAAAAAAAAAGAAAAAATTTAAAGTGTTCAAGTAATTAATTTCTTGTCATCTTAAATGTCGTTGGCCGCCTGAAACTGAAAGTCATAAACCAACATTTAATCCTAGAAGATGTTCATATACATGGACTACTGGAATTTCATTAAAATACAGAAGTCAGTTAAAATTAGAGTCTCAGCCTGCACAGAATATTCTGGGATGTTAGAAATTGAAGGAAGAGACTGTAGACTGTACACTGGAACAAAATACCCAGTAAAAATATAATGCAAATAGACATAAAAAAGATTGTGTTGGTGCCTACATGAAATATGCTTGTAGTCTCAGTTCATTTGCTTATGGGAAGGTTTTAAGTGCCCAAAAAAATACATTTATTATTTGAACCCAATGGGCATCTAAGTGCATAAGTAAAGGTCAGAAATTATTAAATAAACCATTAGGTCCACATGTAATATCACACCAATTATGCAGGCAGGACAATATGCTAAGCTTGAAGCAATTCTACTTTTATTGAAAAATGAGATAATTTTCTAGAATTCTAGACTTTCAGACCATAGATTTGATTTAAAGAGTATTGTAACAACATGCATTTTGGAGCCAGTTGCCAAGTTCAGAAAATAATTCTGAAACAGTGAGGGGAAAAAAATGATAGCTAGAAAGAAGAGGGATATAATCAGATCATATTTATTTGCAAAGACTGTGACAAAAGGACAGGACTATGTTGTAAATAGAATCAAACACAAAGAATACAGCTCAAAAGCTCAGAAACATAGTCATATTTCTGTCTCTGTAGCTGAGAGACATGACCAGAACTTCTGCACTTAGAAAACTGGCTCAAGGTCTCTGTCAAGATAAGGAGAGTAAAAAATTTTCCCTCCAGAAATTCATTTCGTCACCAGGTAGAGAACTTACAGTATCATTTTCTGTGGAAAATACTATTTTAAAACATTTCTCTCATTTATACACAATTAATTAAAAAATGTCTTTAACACATTTCTTAATAATTTAACATAATTGTATTACTCTTACCTTCCACTGAAATATCCTGAATAGCAAAACGAAGGATGATAGTCCAGATCATACCCAGTGTCATTTTCACATTGCCATCCACGATTTCTAAGGTGAAAAATAGATATAGTAGTAGTATTTAAAATTTTTTTCAATTTCAGCTTATTTAATCACACATTTCTATAAATAATACATTGTAACTAATAAATTAATTCTACTTTTACTATAAATTTATATTTACAGAATTCACCTGGGTTCATTTTTCAACAAACTCATGCTACTCTGTCAATAGGACTGAAGGTTACTGAGGTCAAGGCCACTTCAGTCCTTCCATGCTGAAAGGTTTCTCTCAGGGTAGTTGTAACAGTTTCAAATCTTTACCGTTTAGGATGATGTTTTAGACAGAAGATGAAGGGAAATAGTGAAAGTTTGAACAGTATCAGTATTAACAGTTTTCAAATACAACAAAACCAAAAAACATTGGGGTCTTACCCCAGTTTTTTAAGGAACTACAGGACATTAACAGTATTGGTTTTTAATAAAATGGTACTCAGAATTTCCCCTATACTGTTTAGATATGTTTGAGAATTTACCTCTAGTGCCAGCCCAGACAGAACACAAAAAACAGCTCAAGAGACCTGATGACACCTCCTGACACTGAGCTACACAGCTCCCTGCCAAGCTGTTCAGAAGCACAGCCACGAGGCTGGAATGCCTCACAGCTCTGAAGCATACACACATTTAAGTATCTTTAATATAAATGGAGGATGGTTTTTTTACCTCTGGGGTTTTAATTTTTCCAAGACTGCTTGAGACTAAGGATAGCACAGGGAACATGGGAATCCTTGCCACAAGTCAGGTTAGAATCCAATGCTCCCACTTTGTAATTAAGTGATACCACTGAAATTTCTCAACACCAAAATGTACTGCCAGATCACTTAAGTGTGATGGTAATGTTAAATTGTTCTCAGAAGTAAATCAAGAGACTCAGAAAAATATAGTGAGACCATAAGGAGGGTGCAGCATTGGGAAGGGAGGAGATGGGACTGCAGAGTGACTTTCCAGTCACCTCACACCAAAGGAGCAGTGCAGCAGGGAAGGCACCAGCTGCTCCCCTACTTAAAAGTCACCTCCAGCCTTTCTCAAAAAGCGAAGCAGCTGTGTCTGCCTGGGGCCCACTGGTGTTCTGGGCAAAGAGCAGGAGGAACTTGCAGCAGGAGGAATATCCTCAGTTTAACATCAAACGCCAATAGAGGTGCCAGCAGAAAATGCAGTCACTCTGCTACTTAAAATTGCTGAATCCAGGGGCAACTTTTACAGAACAAGAGCAGCTGCTGTCTCTGAGACTAGAGATACATGTTAAATTGCAGTAGGACGTGACACAAGCTGTCATTTGAACCTATGGAATTAGCAAATGTAATAGGAAATATGTAACCCATCACTACCCTCTACTTACTTTGTTAGTGTGATAATTCAAGTTTATATATAAACAGCTAATTTTTCCCTTTCCCCTTTGGATCCTGCACTAATTTTCCACTGCTCTGCCTACCTTCCATGCATCCTGCTTTACTGGCCCTGAAAGACCTCAAATCTCAAAACAAAACCCTTCCAGTCAAAAAAAGGCCAAATGGCAATTAGAGCATGTAGCTACTTCTTTTTCCCTCCTCTTGAGTGAAGTCAAGTCACTTCACTATTTTGATCAGATGTCTGATATGTATATACAGTAAAGACAAATTTCTCCAAATGTAAAATAAATGTATTTAAATACTCAGGAGGCATTGTTGATTCTCAGGCAATCGATTAATAGATTTGCATAATCACTACATCGCTGTTTTGATTTACATATCCATATGTACACACATACAGAATGAAAGAGCAAGAAGAAATTTTCTGTGTTGTGCCTCAGGAGGATTTTCAAGTGATTTGCCAGCTTTAGTTTCTCACAAAACTGCTAGCATAAAACAACAACAACAACAAAAAAGACTCCTATATAAGACAAGGAAGAAAAACAAAGTTGCTAAAATATTGAAAAGTATCAGTACAAAACAGCATTGATTCATTCCTATAATTTTCCTCTACAGATCAGTAGAAGACTTAATGAATTTTTTCACACTGCCTATTTGCTCTGGCTGGAATATATCTCCTACCCCTCACATACACAAAGCTACAGCTTTCTGGGCATGAAGGCAGAAGAGAAGAGAAAATTAAGCTGAAACAAGAAAAACTTATAGGGAAAATGTAAAGCAAAGCAATTTCTCAAAGGTTTTAGTCCCATTTTTTTTATTCAGCTTTGGTTTTATGTATTAATTTATTTTTTATATTCTAACCTTCTTGTAGCAGATTCACATATCATTTGGTGTTTAACATTTTTCCCGTTTCCCAGAAAAGCAATACAGAAATATTGCCTAATTAACAGGATACTTGTCTTTTGGTGGTTCTACATATCTAGTTTATTTCATTCAGGATGCAAGTACCTTCCAAATGGAGTAACTGCACTTTTTTAAAACTGAAGAGAAAACTTTTAAGTCCTGGACTATGAATGGCTCATAAGAACTACTTTCACAGTTTTTAATTTTAGCTTCTTGATTCTGTAGTCTCATTTCATGACCAGTGGAGAGAGACATTTTTTGACAAGACAGGTCAGAGTCCATAAATTTGGCTCCTGCTCAGCATCACAGTTAAAAGTGATCAGCTTTCTCCACTCCACAGACAGCCTAGAGAATTTAGGCTCAGAACAATAATTATCACTTCAAAGAATATCCCTGGGCCCTTAAAAATACTAATTTTATTTCTCTACTACTACACAGGAACCAGTGTTTTGAGGCCCCATTTTAAATGCCAGTTGTTCCCCTTGGGCCTACGTGCTCTTCACCATTCAGTATGTCAGATAATGGAACATGATCCTCAGCAGATTTAGATACAAAACTTCCATGCTTTGGAAATTAAAAAGTATTCCAAGCATCCATGTAACTCAGAGAATGCCCAAACAGAGGGGTGTGGGCAAGCCCAGAGCCCTTTGCTCACCACAGGGGCAGGGAGTTAAGGGGTTGTAACTTTGATAAGGAGACAAAATTAAGGAGACTGTTCTCCTCCTTTCTGGCATTCACTCAACTTACTATATGACTGCCTGGTCAACAACACTGAAAAATGCAACAAAAGAAAAAAAAAAATTGCAGTGTTTTAAAAACAGATCAGATTGCTGATCCAGTCTCCAGGAGAGCTAGAGCAACAGTTGTCAGCCCAAGTGAGAAGGCAGGGCTGTGAAGTGTGGGAGCAGGAATGCAGTTCCAGGGGGCACAGGGTCTCTTTAGACACCCACTGGTGCCAGAGGTCCCACACTGTGAAACCATACCCCGTCAGATGTGACACTGCTTTGCTGCATCAGCACAACGCTGTGCTTTAGGCAACAAATTTAGTAGAGGGTATGCAGTAAAGTTAACAGGGCACTAAGCACGTCTGTGCCAGAGCTGGGTTTGTGCTCAGCCTGTTTAGAGTGGGAGGGAAGGCACGTGCATCTCTCCACTCCTGCCCACATGGATGGAATCTAACGTGGGCATCAGGCCACACTCACATAGCATCATGTCTTACCATCACGGGTTCCTCTCTGCACCTAAGCCATGACAGTGGCTGGGAATTTCTTTCCTATGCTTCCATCTAAGAATTTAGGGTTTTTTTAATGATATGTAATTTGGTTTTGCTTTTAATACATCCATTTTATTGATTGATAATTCCAGAAACAGGGAATAGCTAAAACCATCACCTTAATCTCTAATAAATACTGAATGCAGCAAGTTCCAGAAAAGCTGGAAGAGGTTACTTCCCTTTTTCCTGCCACCTTCCAAAGAGCACAGAGCATTTGAACCCATGTCAGTTGCTGCTAAGGAGAACAGCAGGGTTTGTTTAAATGTTTTTAGTGTCTGATCTGAGCTATTCCAGATGCTTTGCCTTCAGAAAATGCTCAAGTGCTGTTCCCCAGCCTGAATACCCTGGCAGTAGTGACCAGCAATAAACGGGGCAAAATAAGTGAGATGGGAGTGCAGAGGGCTGGCTTGCTCTTTTAGGAGCAGATGTGAGCTGATGTATCTTGGTTTAAATACTCCAGCCTTGTGCAAACAGTGATCAGCAAGAACAACTCTGTCCCACAAAATACTCCTTTTGCTACGCTCTGGTTTTGGTTAGGAAGCCTCAGAGTCTCCTGCCTGACATGACAGAAACTACCTTTCATTTGACCCACGCTCTGTAATCTCAGCATTTCTTCGCCAGCTATCAAACAGGCATCTGTATTTCTTAATTTTCATTTCCACACCTAAATTGTCTCTTCAGTACCCTCTGCTGTCCATTTAATGCCATGTCACTCTCAGAAGAGCCTTACTTAAGTTTAGAAGCATATTTTTTTATCCCACTTAATTTAACTGAGAAAAGGGCACAGGTGCCCCAGCAGTCTGTACAAGTGGTGGAGGGAGCCATACCTCTGAAATGCAGTAAAGCTCTTCTGAGATCAGAGGTGCCTGTGGGAATTGCCCATTTCTCCCCACTGATGTTATATTCCCCAAAAGAGGTCTCTCTTGTGTGCCTTAAGACAGGTGGGATGGATTTGGACTCAGGTGACTCATCCAGTTCATTCTCGAATAAATAAAGAGTGAATTCAAACAAACTCTCTGTCCATTAAGTGTATTTTTTGGGATTTTTGAGTTCTAGATCTAGAAACTGAACACATTTGGTGAACAACACTTGAGGAACCAAGTGAGCTAGGTCAAACCACAGTAAAACCAATGAATCCTGAAAGATCTCTCCATTATTTCTACAGATACCCTTATCCCACATAATGGAACTCCTCTTCCATCCACAATTACAGTAAGCTCCCTGGGATCAAGGCTTGGAAGCCAGAATAAGGATACATATAAGCCTGTAGAAATCTGGGAACAGGAAGAAGAGGCTCATAAATCAATCTGAAAAGGCCTAGAAATGTCAGTAAAATACAGGAGTGCTTATCATCATCATAATGAGGTTACAGCCAAAATTTTGCTCTAAGGACATGTTAGAGTGGGGAGAAAAAGCATAGAAAGCACATCATTGAGGCTATGGAATCAAAAACAGTTGGATATCATGCTAGCCACATCATTCTTGGTATGCTAATGGCTATGGAAACCATTATGCAAATATCTTCATAGAGCAACAAGTTCAACACACACCTCTGTCATTTTTAAACAATTAATTGAATCTCCTAGGGAGGCATAGGTTGTTATAGTGAGAGGCTGTCTTCTTTAGCTCAGTTTACATCTATCAGAATCTAGCCAGCCAGCCAGCCACATGTTGGTACTTAGCTACCTGAATAGCAGAACAATAAAAAAGCAACTACATTAGCAAATAGCATCCCACTCCACTTTCTTCATATGTTCCGTCTCTCCCCAGCTACCAGTGTCTTTTGATCACTCCCTTAACTCTACATCTGAATTTTAGAAACACAGCTGCAGAAAATCTCATAATAAAGTGGGAGTATGTTCCAGCCACTCAGCAGTGATGTCAGCCTTTGTTTCGTCTGAATAATATCTCCTAAAGATGCCAGACCATATAAAGCACACCCTAGAATCCAACCTGGCTTCTAAAGGAGTTCCTTACTTTTAATAATCTATGGGAAAACCACAAGGATTCTGTAAGGAAAAAAAAAATCATTATTTGAACACCTACTGAAGCACAGACAATTCAATTTAACCTTAGAGATGAACTAAGCTTAGTGCTCATTTATAACCCTATCCCTCTCCAGCATTCCAAAAATTTCCACCCCTTGTCCTTTCATAGATACAGCCCAGCAAACAACACTAAGGGATTTCCGAGGCACCCTAACATAAGGTGGCCAAGAGTGTCCACCAGACTGCTCTGTAATGTGACCAAAGGGCGCTGTCAAGATCTGTCACATACCTTCTGCACCAATTGACACAAGTTTCACTCCTTTGCTGGCGATGTAATCCAGAGCTTTGTTTACATTAGCAATTTTATGGAAGCGCATCTTCCCTCTGTCTGGTTTCGGTAGCCTTTCCCCTGCAGAAAAACAAATTTATTGTGATTATTCTTATATACACCTTGCTACAGACATAAAAGTGATTAGAAATCAAGAGTGGCTGTTCCCTAACACTACCTAAAAGTCAGCAATTATTTTAAGAGGTATTCTTCTGAAAAAATGCCAAAGAGGTTTGAATCAAACCCTGAAAAGAAAATTCAAATATTGAAGTATCTGATTTTGATTTTTCTGATATAGCAGTAAAACCACAGCAAAATTTTTGTTTGTCCTAAACATCTGCAAGATACCTGTACTTCCTCCTACTTTACTTCTGGTTTATTGCTACTATCAGTTGCAGTAGCTGAATATTCAGAAGGCAGAATCAGAGCTCATCATTCTTCTCTGAGCGACTGGAAAGAGAGGCTGGATTCTATCCAGCAGTTCAGCCACAGCATTCTTGAACATCTGACCAAGAAGAATGGATTTTAACAACCTCATCCAGCACAGCAGAGCAGCTCATTTCAAAGCACAGGGCTGATGTGTTTGAACAAACTTATCTTTTCAAATTATCACAAAGAATAATAATTTCTAAAAAGATTCTCCATTTCATGAGGAATGAGCATTTGAAGAATTTTTTTCCACATTGAAATCTCCAGCAAAAATCTAAACTGTCATGAGTATTTGCAGCTTGAGCTATTCCCTTCCCATTAATGGGCATTCTTACCTTGGAGATTGCCCCACTGAATAATGCATAACGAAAGGGAAATACTGAGTTTACATCAGTTAGCAAAAGTTCTTGGATGTTCCACTCTTTTGAAAAATGAGACCTTTTATTTGTGACAAAATATTGATCTAGGTGTGCTTTAGGCACTCACTTTTGAAAGCACTGGTACATCCAATAAAGTCAGCAAAATGTTTATGCTAAAAGCAGAATACAATTTATTTGTAACCTATGTGTAAAGGCTTTAAGTGTTAGGGGCTAAGACAAGGTCCTCAATGGTTTTGGTTTGTTCAACAACACTGATGTCAATGATACACTGTGATCTCCTGGAACACAAGCACAAACCAGAAAATTTTGGAGACAAGCAAAAAGCAAAGCTTCTTCTTTGAATTGTTAACAAATTTTGTTACTTTAAGAGTGTTTCAGTTCATGTGCTGTAAATACACAGAAAACTTTATTTTAGCTAACCTGAGATAACTTCCAAGAGGAGCATCAGTTTGAGGCCATTTCTGAAGTCCTCCTCAATGTTCTCAATTTGTGTGCCTGCTTTCCTGAGGTGGGAGTTGCACCAGGCTGTAAACGTCTGTAAGAGCAATTTAAAAAATACTTATTAACAACTTATCAATACTTATTTCCAAACAACTGCTAAGCCATGCGAGTAAACACTGCATCTGAGATTTGGAAGTCCAGCTCCCATTCACTCTACACATGTTGCCAAGTACAAATTTCTTATCCCAGATGTTCATGAAGATGCAAAGAATTTCTTGAATAGAAGAAATTCTGTGCTAGATTCTGCTTGCAGATGCATCTCCAGGCAGAAGTTCTACACGTAAAGGCAAAACTCGGACACAAATGCAGATACTTAAGTTTGCAGGGAAAAAATTATAAAAGAACCATGAATATTTTTGTATCCATAGTGAATAATCAAGTCTGCTTTTACCTGCAGAGGTGAAAAGCAGAACTAATTCAGTTGCAAAGTCATTTACATGTTACCTTTTATATGAATGAAGTCAAAACATGGGCTACTATAAAACTTAGTAGTTAAATTAGTCTGGTTTTAAATATCCATTACTTCTCTCAGCTTTCCGACAAATTGTTCTTGCTTTTCAGTGTCTGTTAAGATACACAAGGCAAGCTTGTATTTACTAGGTATTTTAGCAGGTGTTTAACTTTAGTTATATAACAAAGTCACTGTTACTAAACATTTTTAGCAAATTAGACTTCAGCTCCTTAAAACTGTCTGATACTTGGAATTCTCCTTCTTTTGCTACATCAAATTTCCAGTTTTAAAAACATTTAATTCAAATAATTAAAAATAAACAAGATATATCCCGGTTGTAAATAAGAAATTCCCTTTGGCCTTCTTTATTCATGCCTGATTTCTTTAGACTATTTAATTTCTGGTCTCTCAGAAACAGAATAAGAAAGACCAGTAGATTAGGACAAAGATCTTCCCTGGAATTGAATTCTACAAATTCTAGACAGATTTGATACTTTAATAAAACAGGGACTGAACTTTGCCAAATGGTTTAATCTTAAAAAAGAAACTTTTTGTTAAAGAATAACATTGTGACTATTGTTGGGCATGACTCAATTTATGTGAAGAATTGATGGGCAGTTTACTAGACTGTTTTCTCAATGCTCCTACATTGACAAGGAACAGCTTCCTTATATCATCTTCTCCTATCGAGTTGAAAGGAAGCAAGAGGTGTTGTGGATATGGCAGAGCTGTACAGTGAAATCTCTAATTCTAGGTACCCAGAAAAAGGAGGAGAGAGAAGAAAATACTGGATGTGTTTCTGGGCAGAGGTCTGTGTTGACGTGCAGAGGATGAATTTTAGGTAGGAATGCAAGTTGTTCTGTGTGCACATAGGAATAAGTAAGGTTGCAGGTGAAGCATATCTGCAAACACATTTTATTAAAGGGATGTTAGCTCCCATTCAGGAAGGCAGAACCTTCCTCATTTTAAGCTTTACTGAGTTCATGAAAGTTCTGAAACAAGAGCATACCAATCCTCATAGCACAGATTGAAAGCACCTCCACCATCAAGGCATGACATGGAGAATGAGGATGGCATTTCATTTGGATTATTATAGGGTTAGGATACAGTTTACAAGACTAATTTGTCTGCCTCAAGCAGTATCTTGTTTTAGTGGTATATATCTCAAAAGGCTTAGCACCACATTAAGTCATTTGCACACATTAAAAATTACTACAAGCTTCTTGGAAGGAATAATACTATGGCAATGCAGGAAAAAAGAAGCTGAAAGCACTCAAGGGAAATGCACATGAACCTTGCATGGCAATCTGGCAATAAATATTAGAAATCTGAACCTTTAACTAAATGAGCCTTTCATGAATTAGGCTTAAGTGATGGACATATGCTTATTTGCAGATGCTACTGCAGTTTGTAGAACTGTTCCAAGCACATCATAATAGAGAGGAAGTTGGAGAAAAATCTCAGCCATTTCCATCTCTTCTTTTAGATATTTATGGTAAATGTTCACCTTGTACCTCAAATGTTCACTCAAGTCAATGAGTTTTCCTCATTTCTCATTTAATTAATAGTTTAATGGCAACAACCCCATTGTTTGAGAAGTTTTAAAATGTGAATCTCATGCCTACTGTGAAGAAGGTTACTTCTCAGTTCCTTAAGAAGAAAAGGATCTTGGTACTTCTTAGCTCATATACTTACATACATACATATATATATATATATAATCAACTTCCTTGATGCTGCACTGATAGACACAAAACAAGTTTTATCCAAATATCACAAAGTTTTCAAATAATTTAAATAGTTTCTCTTGAAAATGGACATTTTTATGGCACTGAATTTCCTGAGAGAAAAATAGTTTTCTCATCTCATTCTTTCTACGCAGCCTATGTTGCTGTGATACACACAAGGAAAAGATGCTGCTACTTCTGAATCAAGCTGTTTTCAAGAAACAGTTTGATGACAGAGTGGTTTTTATGATCTGCTTTTCTATATTTGTAGGTTATTTAAGATTCTTTCCAGTTGTATCGCATTTGTAGCATTTTGAAGGATAAATTTGGAATTACCACAAGACCTACATCCATGAGATAAGAAGTTCTGCTGAAGCACTCTACTGTGATTGAAGTCTTTATTTAGACCATCTGTATCTATTTTTGACTGCCTTCTATAGAATAAGAGAGTTACATCTTTTATTTAAACTACAGTTGCTCAGTTTTCTGTTTTACCAGTGGCCCAGGCCATGCCTTAGTGCTGTCTGTTCCCTTCCGACAGCTGTCCCGCACCTTTTAGAAATGACTCCTGGTGTGTGGCTTCTGAAGCCTGCTGCCTTCCAAACTAGCTTCTTTCTCCCAGGACTAAACATGGTTATAGAAATGATACTTCGGGAAGTGGTAGCTTTGTTTCAGTGAAGCAATTCATTAGTGACTGCATGAAGGCTACTGCACAATTTAACTTGCAAATTTTAACAGTTTCCTCGACCCACATTTTATTTAACACTCATCCCTCTATTCTTATTTTGATAGCACTTGTTCTCACTGCTTTGGCTTTAACTAACAATTCTATTCCTAGTTATTGAGAAACAATTCAAAGCATGTTCAAGTCCTGGAGATCAAGATACAGCCAGCATATAGTACCCTGGAAATTTGTAATCCATTGGGATTTAAAAGCTATTAAATGACTTAGACAAAGTAAATCCCTTTTTCTGCTGAGCTGTACAGAACATTTCAGAGTATCAGATTGCTCAGAGAAACAAAGCAGGACTTAAGGCACCAAGCTGAATACCAGGAAGAACACAAATAAATGTCTACAAAGCTAGACAGTTCTTTTTAGGATTTATTTACCCTACATGGCTCTACAAAATGAACATATAAATAAATGAAATTTTCTCCTTTCCAAGTTTGTTATTACAAAAGAAAGTTTGCTAATGTTCTGAGAGGAAACACCCAGAAAAGAGGATGCAAGGCATGAAGCCAAAGAACTTGCAGTCGCACAGGTGAATGTTCTCTTAATGCACCATTAATTGTCTACTGCTGTCACAGGTCTATTTTGGAAACAGTAACTCCAGGAAAGAATGCAGTTTATGTTCTATGCCCACTTAGCTTCCTTGTGAAGACTGCCAAGAGCATATTCTCCACAATTCACAGATCTGTATGGCAAAGTGTATACCTATGGGGGAAAACACCCCTTACCTGGCAATTTACAAATCTCTGACAAAAAATTGCAACCCAGGGGCAGTAAAAGGAGATGTCCCTAACTAATTATCAATCAATAATTAATGCAAAAAAAAATGAACAGGGTATGCGTAATTTGTAAAAATATTTTTTATACAGACACAGTGAAAGACATGCTTTCCTGGGAAAAATGGTGCCTTTGAGATCTGAGTTGTCCTACAGCTCTGCAAAAGTCAACGTGTCCTTTTTATGTGAGTGTAACAATAACTTGCTCTTGATAGTGGTTCAAAGCCAGAAAACAAGATACTGTGATAACAAGTTTGACATACTTACATGAAAATATGGATAAAGACAATTGAGAAAGCAACAGTCACCACACCCTCCAATACTGGTGAGTCAAGACAACTTGTTCCACTTCTTGAAGATGTAAAATAAATTCCTAGTTTGGCACCGACAGCGAGTCCATAATGAACATCACTAAAGCACCAGGATAACCTGTGTGCATAGGGGATACACTTGCGCTCAGTACTGAAATTCAGAAGTGGTTTCAGCCTAATGAAGCACTGGGGTCCTGCATCCTATTTGGTACATGTATCTCACATCAAGGTTAACTCTGCCTTTCATTCAGTCCAGCTCAAATCAATTTCTGTCTGCTATAGTATTTATAAGTGTTCAAAATTAACACTTATTTCAAAAGCCATGTGTCTGCTTGTCGGTACCCCTATCAGTAGCCCAAGAAAGGTTACTTGCTCAAAGGAGTAATTTGGTTTTACTTGAATTGGAAATTTAATACTTTCTGTGCCTGCTAAGAAAAACAGAATTACAACTTGTTTTTCATGGTCCTTGAATTCTAATAACTAGAGCAGGAGAACACACCTGTCTAAAATTTACTTCAAATACAAACATTCAACACATATGTTTACATACATATTATCCTGAATTATTTCAGTCTGATAGAGTTGTTTCTTGAAACTGCTTTACAGCCCTTCTTCTAAAGGGCTCTTCCTCTCCCTTTGTGTTGGCTGAAGGTCTTCATTACTTCCAGGCTAAATGGGATGCAGTGATTCACTCTGCAATTATACAGAACATTACTGTGCTCTGAGTGCATGACAAGGGTGTTACAGAAGGAGCTCTGCCAGAACATTCCCAGTAGGCCAGACTGAGGTTTTCCCTTGAAGAATTTCCCATCTGACTGTTATCCATGGTTTAAAATATAAGTTGTGAACTTGCAACATGATCTCCTAGCTCCTGTGTCCACAGCATGTTCTGATGGCTGCACAATCAGGGGTTTTCTCTTGACTCTTGACACAGGATACAGTCTGTGTTGGCCCTCATTCTCTTAACCGTTTATTCTGTTCCCAAAAGAGGCTGAAAGGTGAAATACTGCAGAAAATTGCACAGCACTTTTAAACTAGC